TCAATTAGAGGCTACTCTAATAAAAAAATTAATAAAGAGTGGGAATGCGTTAAGGAATACATGAAAAAAAGTTGGTGCTGGAGCTTAAAAATTAATATGCAAAAGTATAAAAGGCGCAAAGAGATAGGATAATATGTTAAAGTTGGAATAACAAAGTGAATAATGTAACAATAACAAAAATAATAGTAAGTAAAGAAGATCACACACAGATGGAGGGAAGTACTGGGCTGTGGGGGAGGGAGGTGAAGGGATTAACTGAAACTGTTAAAGACTGGTATAGGATTTAAGAGATTTACCGGTAAATTTTCATAAAGATTCTATAAGGAAAGCAGAAAGCAGCAAGAAATATCAAGTAAAGGTATCGGAGAGGAAATCAGTGTAAATGAAAACATGAGACTTATGGTTTTGTTACATATGATTTTATTTTGGAGTTGTCTGTTTATTTTGGAGTTGTTTGTTGTAAAGAATGTATATCATGTGAATAAAATAATAAAGGATGAAACTGAAAAAAAGAAAGAAAAAGAAAATGTTATTAGCCTAAAGAGCTGTAAGTTAATACATAATGAAAAAAACAAAAAAGGCAGAATTATTTAGAATTGGATAAGAAGATGGCATATATAATGTTTGTTGACTTATCAATGTAAACTATGCTTGTGCATTTAGACCTCTACACTCCTTCAAGGTGTATTGCCCTACAAATCCACATTGACAGTTCCATAAAAATCCCCCCCAAAAGTAATAGTAAATACAGTAATAGTGTGTTAACTAGTGTATTTGTGAGAGCTTTTAAAAAAGCAGATTATGAGATAGGGCATTTGGATGATGGAAATCAGACTTCAAACCCTAAGGAACAGCTAGGTTTCCTAGAATAATGTAATGTAAGAAGGTTCCCTGTGCTGGGAAATTACAGTACCATGCAGCAAAAGTAGAATCACAAGAGAAGATAAGCATAAGAAATAGAATCTAGTCCTCTGGAAAGTCCCTTGAACTTCTGGCCTGGCCATATTAACATTTGCAGCAGAGTGCATGACAGATGCCCCATTTGCCTAAGTGAGAGGAAGGCAAACTACTATAGGATTTAGGAGAATTTTACGAGTGATCTTCCAATTTTATAAAAATTATTGAAGTAATACAGTAAGTGAAATGAAAAATAGAAATGGGAGGAAACATTAAACGTCAATTGCAAAGAAATCCAATAGTAACAAAGTGTATATAAAATAAGCTTTACTGCAATATAAATAGCTGTTCCAGAATTGTCTCCTCACCACTCAAGTGTGCACTATATAAAAGAAAACTGACTCTCATGTCAAAATAACTGTTTTCTGAAGGAGCATAGATGGTATATAGTCAAATAGATTCACCAGCTATCATATGATGTCACATTCTGGGAATATTACTTTTGTTACTGCTGATAGCAGTGAATAATATACAAAATTACAATGGCTTGCCTGAGGCATTCTAGACTCCTTGACAGATAAGAGGGATCTCTTCAAGGGGGAGTGGGGGACAAGACTGTCTGATGAAGGGACAGCATGGAAGCAAGTTTGCATTTGCTGTTGCTCAGCAACCTTGTATTGAAGGCCCCCTTTCCCAGATTGCTTTAACAAGATTTGACGGGAGAAGGATAGTTAAGTATATGATTAATAAAAAAAGGTATAGATTATTCTGAACTGATGTGCAGACACGTCAAAATGGAATTGTACAATTTAGGTAATGTTGAAGGATGACACCCTGCAAAAAGTTGACAACTGGCTCATTATTACCTGCACAAAGCAATTCTTACATCCCTTTTTTGTTTTCTGCTGTATCACTTAAGATCTGATCTTTGTTATTATTCAGCCTGCTATGATTTCTGTGTCAAGATCTAGTTGCAGGGACCTGAAATAAAAACCTGAATTTAATAAGCTATGTTAAATTGTAGGGAGAGCTGTATTTCAGTGAGTTTACCTGATGGGTACCTTTCAGAGTTGGAAACATTGATAAATTACTGCAATTTGTACCCTGGCACTGCTCGCAAATGGAAGCGCCAGCCAATTAATTAGGCATATATCCCTGCTTTACAATGGCTGCTCTTATTTAAACTGCCTCCACACTGTTGCTGTAGGGCTGTTAAAGCTGAGCTGTAAACAGCAGTCAGAGGGGAGCGGGGAACCAGTTGTTGTGCCAAGGCATTGGAGTCAAGGAATTGAGCCAGAGAACTGAAGAACATGCCAAAGCCAGAAATATATCCGGCAACGACTCAGCCCAAAGTCTGAGAATATGTCACTGTCCAGACTCCAGGACGGTACCACAGTCTGCAGTTGTGGGAGTTGCACATGCACAGAGTGTTGTGGGTTCCTGGTTCCAGTTCTAGCAGCATAGAGTTTTCTTTGAGTAACTCAAATTATTTTTAACTTTACTTCACTTTCTATTCCCGCCCCGTGCACAATACACTTTAATAAAAGCTGCTTTCTCATATATTTGTTTTATAAAACTCTTCCATATAAGTGCCTAGTCCCATATAAATGTCTGAAAATTTAATAAACCCTGAAGCCAAACTTCATTACAATGTATTTTACCCCATTGGAAAAAAAGTCATCTTTGTCAACTTCTGGTTTGTACTCTGCATATACTCTGGGGCTAGTCTACACCATATCGGCCTCCCCATTTAGATTTAGGTGGCATCATTACAACTGGAAGCAGAAAAGTTCTCTGTCATGGAGCACTTTTAAATGACAAATTAGGAATCCTAACATTTATATAATAAACAAAAAATGTGCATATAAAATTAGAAAAGGAAATGAAGTTTCTGCTGCTTTCTCTGTGATGTAGTACGCTACATACAATATAAACTATTTCAATAAATTCAAAATGCTATTCTATTTCTTAACAGCATCTTGGCAGTCAAAAACAAGTCTCCTTTTTCAACTGCTCCTCAATCCATAGCTCTACCTGAAGTGGCAGAGAAGCCTGCAAATTCTGATACAGTGGTACCTCGGGTTACATACGCTTCAGGTTACACACTCTACTAACCCAGAAATAGTGCTTCAGGTTAAGAACTTTGCTTCAGGATAAGAACAGAAATCGGGCTCCGGCGGCGCGGCAGCAGCAGGAGGCCCCATTAGCTAAAGTGGTGCTTCAGGTTAAGAACAGTTTCAGGTTAAGAACGGACCTCTGGAACGAATTAAGTACTTAACCTGAGGTACCACTGTATTTTTAACTGGCTCTTAATTGTAACATGTAAGGTCTGGGGAACGAATGCAGCTCCCCAAACTCCTCTTTCAGTCCCACGGCACAACCTCCATTGGCCCTGCCCAACTGGAATATGAACTCTGATAATGCTTCTTACTTGCCGTGATAGAGGTTAGAGTGATGCACAGTAGAAAAAGTACAATTTGCTTTACTTGGCTCACACACCTTTGCCAGGCTCACCATTGCTGGCCCTCAGAAAGCCACCCAGGAGAAAATGCTTCTGCTGGGGGGGGGGGGGGAACCCCACCCCCAGCAGCAGACAATATATTAAGTAAGTTTGGGCTGCAAGGCTGAATAGTGCCTTACAGTACAACCCTCAATATATGTACTCATTATTTAGCACACTTGATGTATTTATTCATAGAACAGTGCGCTGCAGTGGTTAAGAGTTTAGGACTAGGACCTGCGAGACCAGGGTTCAAATCACGTCAGCTATGAAGCTCACTAGGAGACACTGAGCCAGTTGCTGCTTCTCAGCCTAACCTACCACACAGGGTTGTTGGGTAAGTGAGGCCACAGAACCATGTGCACCACTTCAATTGCCATTGAGGTCGGATATAAAGGCAATAAATACTCAGAAGGCCCAAGGCTTTAAACTCTGCACCGGTTAACGGGCAGAAAGCCCCCAACTGAACACAGTGGGACTTCTTCCCGAATAAAACCTACGTAGAACTGAACTATTAATGATGAGTGGGAATACTTTGGGGAAATGTTTTAAGAGGTATAAACAGTCAAATAGAACTTCCAAGTGTGGATTGACTTTTGGGCAGCAGTAAACAACTTAGAAATGGAGGCAGTGAGAGATTTTACTTTCTTGGGCTCCATGATCACTGCAGATGGTGACAGCAGTCACGAAATTAAAAGACGCCTGCTTCTTGGGAGAAAAGCAATGACAAACCTAGACAGCATCTTAAAAAGCAGAGACATCACCTTGCCAACAAAGGTCTGTGTAGTTAAAGCTATGGTTTTCCCAGTAGTGATGTATGGAAGTGAGAGCTGGACCATAAAGAAGGCTGATCGCCAAAAAACTGATGCTTTTGAATTATGGTGTTGGAGGAGACTCTTGAGAGTCCCATGGACTGCCAGAAGATCAAACCTCTCCATTCTTAAGGTAATCAGCCCTGAGTGCTCACTGGAAGGACAGATCGTGAAGCTGAGGCTCCAATACTTTGGCCACCTCATGAGAAGAGAAGACTCCCTGGAAAAGACCCTGATGTTGGGAAAGATTGAGAGCACAAGAAGGGGACGGCAGACGACGAGATGGCTAGACAGTGTTTTCGAAGCTACCAGCATGAGTTTGACCAAGCTGCGGGAGGCAGTGGAAGACAGGAGTGCCTGGCGTGCTCTGGTCCATGGGGTCACCAAGAGTCGGACACGACTAAACAACAAAAAATTGTGTTTAGGACTGCAGTACCTCACGTGACCGCCAGGATGTCTCGAGAGCCCCCCCCCCCCATAAACGCCAGACAGACGGGAGTTTTACCTCACGTCTTAATACATATTATTTCTGAACTACTAACCAGTCACCTCAGCGAACGAACCCTTTAAGCGCGCACAATCCCACACCCTTTGCAATCGCCCTGAAGGCCTTGAAACTGAGACAAGCGCTTCGGCCTCCGGGTCCCAACCGAAGGCTGACGGACAAGTGCGCACGCGCGCGGCGGCGACGGACCGGAAGAAGTCTCGCCGCGCGGCCTCTCCCCGCCCCTTTCGACTTCCTTCTTCACCTCCCCGCCCCTCTCCCCGCCCTTACTTCCGAGCTTCGTCCAATGACTAGCCGCGAGCCGGCCTCCGTGGCGCGCATGCGTCGTCTCTTGACGTTGCCGCTCGCGGGAGAATTCGAATCCAGCTGCGCGGGCGCCAAACGGAGCTGGTCGTGGATTCTCAACGGTGAGTTTTGAGGGGAGAGGGCGAGGCCGTGGCAGGTGAAATATAAACGGAATTATGTTAGGGTAAGCTAGGTCTGTGGTGACCTGTTCTTGACAGTGGCCAATACTCAGCAGCTGCCTGCTAGTTAGGGAGCCGGAAGGGTGGGCGTCTTGTGGAGAAAGGTGAAGGAACTGGCCTGCTGGATTAATGCTAAGGACCCGTCCAGCCCTGCTTTCTCTATTCCTTTTCGATAGGAAGCCTCAGGGGAAAGGACTGTCTTACTATACTGGCGTTTGTAGGTTGCTCGGGGTGCCTTTTCCGCTTGAAGAAAGTGAGGTAAAAGCACACCTTTGAAATGGTTTGTTGTTGTTATTTAGTGACTTCTAGGTGCGTCTGAAACAGGGAAGTGACAGGAGAAGGGGGGGATTGTATACAAGGTGGAATTTATTTTACTTAGCCTAGGTCCATTAATTTCAGTGGTCTACAGTGGTACCTCGGGTTACAGACGCTTCAGGTTACAGACTCCGCTAACCCAGAAATAGTACCTCGGGTTAAGAACTTTGCTTCAGGATGAGAACAGAAATCACGCAGCGGCAGTGGGAGGCCCCATTAGCTAAAGTGGTACCTCAGGTTAAGAACAGTTTCAGGTTAAGAATGGACCTCCAGAACGAATTAAATTCTTAACCCGAGGTACCACTGTACTGTTAATAGAATAGAATTCCATACATATGGGAACAGAGGTGCGTGGTGATGATGAAAGGAGAATTGTGTGTTTGCCTTCAGTTTCTTAAAAAAAAAAGAAACAATATAAAAAATATTCTACCTTCAACTTCAGGAATATGTGGTTGGGGGGAAAAGGGGTGGGGTTGGCTGTGGGGGGTGGGGAGCAAATGGCCACATGCTGTAGCCAAACAGAGTGAGAAAAGAAAACCTATGGATACTTTCGACTTTGTCATCTCTTTTCTCAGAATTCATATTGTGCAGGACAATAAAGAAGTGTGAATCACCAGTAACTGGAACTAGTGAGCTATTGTGGTAAGGCTAGTTATACTACATGTTCTGCCCAGTTGCCAGAACAGTTGCCAGTCCATTAATTTACTTAAGAAGTATAGAAACATAGAGAGACAGTACCTAAAGCAGTGTACGGAATAACCTAAAACTACTGATATTACCGAAAATAGCAGTAAAACATCCATTGCTGCCAGATGGACAATAATTCATGGCCAAATTAAAACAGCAGCAGTTAAATACATTCAGTTATGTGGTGCAAAAAAATCCTGTAAAGACAGCTGGGCCAGAATACATCTTTAGAAAGAGCCAGGCCAACAGTGTAGGAGATAGTTGCTCCAAGGAGTCGAAGTGCAGATGCTGCCAGGTTTAAAGGAGGTAACCTAGTGGGGCAGTGGTTAGTGAGGCAATAGATGTTTTCTTGGAAGCAAGCAACCTGAAGGCAAAGTTTTTCTTTTCTTTTTTTGCGAGGGAGGGGGAGGAAACAAACCATAATCACTAGTTTGCACCTAGTATGAAACCAGTCTCTGGTTTGTTTCCACTCTAGTGTGTCAAGGTAAGGAGCAGGGGAGAAGCAAATTGGAGACATTTGAGCAGTCTGCACCTACATGCTTCTTATTCATATTAAAAATGCAATGCGGTGTGTGAACTAGGTTTGTTTGCCAACCAGTTCTGAATTGCTGTTCTGGCATTAAATTGGATTTCCTGTTGCAATGTTTTCCTCTTAGACTTTTATGGATTACGAAGTAATACAACATGGCAAAACGTGAAGCTTTTCTACAGGCTGCTTTTAATGGTGCCAACAAAGAGTTCTTGCATTTTATCCAACTTCACGTAAGTAAATATGAAGAGAAAAAAAGTGCCTGGAGTGGGATGAAACGCTTTTGTTCAGTGACAAACTTTTGGTTTGTATCATTTTTACAGAAAGATGCAGCAGATCCATTTGATTTGAATGAGTTGTTGCAAGAATTATCTAGGAAGCAGAAAGAAGCATTGTGGGAGAAGTTAGCACAGTGGTTGGCACAAGTTTTAGTGGAAGACCCAACAGAAGAATGGCAGAGAGTTGGAGAAGACTGTGATGATGACATGGAAATTGAGACGGCTGCTAAAAGGGTATTTCTTATAACAGATTCCTGCTATGTTTCATGAGCTGATACAATTACTGTAATTATTTATTCATTTGTTCATTTATGTGGCTACCACCTTAGATACCAGAAGCCTTTCATATGCACTCCTTTTATGTCCGTTTCATTTACATCAGGGGTGGGGATCCTTTTGGCCTGGCCAGCCAGATTTTTAGCTTCTCTACCCTCATCAGCTGGGTTCAGGCATGCTGGCTTGAGTTCAGGCACACTCAAACCCTACACAAAGCATGATTGAATCCCCTGTGCAACTGTGTTTACCTCCCCCACACCTGATTGCATATATATGATTGTAGCATGAGGCAGGTGGCCAGGGTTTCTGAAAAACAGCCCCATAGGCCAAATGGGAAGGCCCAAGTTTGGCCTACAAACTGGAGGTTCCCCACTACATCCTGTAGTTCCCTGTCAGAATGGCTTATGCTGGGCTTCCAGGCCTTTCCACACATTGTCCATTCTAGCTTTTATACAGCAGAGGGGCCAGGGGAAAGCATGATGGTAATAGTTTGAGAATCTCAAATGCAAGTTGCAGATGCCTTTGTTAACATGAATGAAGTGAAGGCTTATTATTTATCAAAATCTCAACTGCTTTCTTCAGGAAAGCAGTGCAGAATTGTGTGAGTTTTCTTCACTATACTGTACTGAAAACAATGGCTTACAGCTAATTTAGACCCATTGATTTAAGTGGATCTACTCTGATTGGGTTGTGTCCAATCAAGCTCTAGTCTGCTTAAGGGTTCTTTGAAACCTATTCTCTCTTAAAGAAAACACAGTTACCTAGTCTATCCACTTAGGTTAATTGGCTCTCAGCTCCTAATTCAATGAATTTATTTGTTCTTGGTTCAAGTTCTTTTGCTGAAAATTTGTAGATACATGGATAATTTTTTTAACAGCTTAAGGAAGAGTGCTGTGTTACTTCAAAGCTTACATTCTGCACCATGAATATGAATTCACATCAGTTGATTGGATGTTGTTGTAAAACCTGTTTGTAAGTAGTTGCAAACTGGTACAAAGTTTTTTACTTGTTTTGTTTTTGTTTTCTAAACCTCAAAACTTGAACAGTGGCAGATCCTGAAAAAAACAAGGAAACGAAAATATGCTGCAAGGAGGAGAAAAAGACATACAAAAATTAGTGCCCTATTAATTTCATCGAGAGAGCTTAACATGTGTTTAAATATTTTCTGCTGGAAAGTGCTTGACTGGCTAGATCACGTTCATGATGTTTGGAAAGACACTTACTCTCACAATAGGTTTTAATGGGGAATCACAGCAGTTCTGCTCTACCATAATTGTAAATACTGCCTAGTAAAAAATAAATTAGTACCTGCATTTAATAAAGGGAGGACATACTTAAATACCTTTCAGCAAAGGAATTTATTCCAGCTAATATTAAGCCAAATCATACTGCTTTCAGTTTTTCTTGAATAATTGTGGCCTGATGTTGTAGTTTAACTTCATAGCCTTGTTAAGTAAGTGTACCTCTCTCAACTTTTAGGAAGAAACCACAGCTGTCATCCATGGTGTTGCCACTGTAGTTACTACTTCCATACCCACAGTAGATGAAAATGTAAACATCAAAGCTCTTTTAGAATGTGCACTGATATTAAATGGTATGTATTTCAGTTGATCTCAGCATACTAGGATCTTTGGTATATTGATAGTGCTAAACATCCTTTGTGTGAACAAGCAAATATTTAAAACAAAAGGAATGCCACTTCTGGGAGTGGAAGTAATTTAAACCTACTGACTTATGGCTTTCTTCATACAATTGCATGTACCTTGAACATTTAAAACCCATCTTTTCTTTAGCTATTATTGTTTCTTTATGGCATATTTTGAAAACCACATTACATGTCATATAACCACTTATCTCATAACAGATTCACTGGTTTGCATAGCAACAAAGTAATAATATAAAATGTTGGTGTAAATATTGTATCTGTTGATATGTTTATAGCTTAGCAAGTGGGTGTAAGTGCTTTACAAGCTTCAAGTACTCTTGATGTGGGTTTCAGACTGTAAAATGACTGGAATGAACTTACTGAAACAAAACTATAACCTTGGTCATACCACAAATTCATCCAAAGCTAGTTCTTAAACCTAAGTGTGGTCCATCCCCTGTTTAGTCATACGCACCTCATAGGAACCACTGTATTTCTTGCCTAACCTGGAATGAGAGTACACTGTGGTGGGAGAGCGGAGGGTCTCCCCTTTGCCCGTACTATCATCCCGACCAGAATGGTCCCTCCCCCATAATCCATTCACCATAGAGCGCGCCTACTGGGACCAATATAAGCTTTTATGCCACTGCAAATATGAGGCACCTACCTCCCCTGATTCTCAGTGGGACCACAGGAGAAATAGTTAAAGCCACCCAGACTATGGACCCAATCCAATTTGGGTCCCCTGGTTTACCTGTTTGTTTGTGGTTAACTGTGCTCCTAAGGTCACATTAAATTTTCCTAAGAAATTTAAATGACAAAGATAGAGTTACTGAGTCTGGCAGTAAAACAATTTTTTCAAAAGACAGCTGTCTTGTGACTGGCATTTTGGACAGCAAGATAAGAAAATCAGCTTTGAGTTATGTTTCTTGAAGCATTTTAAGATTGCTAGCGGTCTCTTTTTGACACATAAATTTAATTGTGCTTGCTATGATTTTGTTGCAGGCATTCTTTACACATTACCTGACTCTGAAAAATCTCTGCTGGGAGCCATCCAGTGCCTATGTGAGCGATGGTGGGAGAAGGGACTTCAAAGAAAAGAAGTGTTTGGGAAAAGTGCTCTCATCATGCTTCTGAAAAAGAGTCTTGAAAAGAAAATTGTTGTGGTATGCTTTAATTAATGAGTTAAGTCATGTTTATATACACTGGGGGCTGCCACCCCTGCTCGCTCCACTTGCCGTCCCCAGCTACTCACACCACACTTCCCTGCCCCCTTGAAGTACCTTCAGACCCAAACATGCCCCCTAAGATGCATGCCAATGTTTAATTTAACCTTTCACTATGTCCATGCTAAAGCTTCAGGATAGCTTCCCCACTCTGTATGTCAGGGCTATCCAGAAACAGCTTTACCCTTCTGCCCATTCTTCCAGGCTACTCAAGAGAAGATCATACTTTAATAGGCTGCATTAATCCAGATCACCTATCTCAGCTGGAAATGGGTAGGATGGATCAGTGTTGGGTGGCCTTTGCAAGCCTTCCCACTCTCCCCCTGTCACTGCTGCCATAGAGAGCCAGAGAAGTATGGTTGTATATTTCCTCCCATCTCCTGCAGGAACCAGTAGCAGTGATGGGGACAGCGGAAAGGCTTGCAAAGCCTGTCCCACACTGATCCATATGCCCACACTTACTTCCTACTCACCTGAGGCTGCTTGTCTACTGAAACAACTCCCCAGCAACCATCTACTAGGTTCCCACTTTGTTCCTCCTTGGCCTCTGACACTGCTGAAACTAAAAGAGTGATGTCAGTGTCGGGTGCATGGCAACAGGAAAGTAGGGCAGTAGCTGAGGACCTGTCCTGGCTGTTCTTTTGCAGCTTGTCTGGGCCTCCCACTACCCATGCCATTTGCTCACTTGCTCATCTGCCTGCCTGTTTTTCTTTCCCACATTTCAGTTTGTGTGGCCACCAGTACACGACCATGTGAACTGCAGCATGGCAACATTTTTTGCAACATCTTGCAAAAATATTAGAGAGTAAGAAACTTGTAATTAATTTGTGCTTGAGCTAATTGATACTGTAAACTCCAGTACTTTGGTGCATATCGCATGACTGAAAGATATCTCTCACCTCATAATCCTCACACACAAATGCAATTGTGATCTTCCCTAGGGTGTGGATATAGTCCGTCTATGGCATCTTCACCGGGCTTTACTGTGTTTTGATTATGACTCGGAGGAGAGTAATGAAGTGAAAGATTTGTTACTCCGGTGCTTTATGAGTATTGGCCATATTAAAAAAGAAGAGGTAAGTGTGCTTTTTCTAAATATATCTTCTCACTGTTTTAAAATTATTGGGTGATAAGTTGATGCCTACAAAAAATAAAACAAGTCTTAGGGAGGGGGAGCATAGAATTTATATTTCTCACAAGGTATGTATGTTCAGCAACCTGATGAATGCAGGATATCTACTTGCCTTCTACCTCATTCTTTGAAGAAAATAGTTAAGACCTTGTTTTGATTTGCGGGGGGTGGGGTGGATTCTTTTGCTTGTTTGGCTACAGATGTACTGGGTTTTGGAAGGGTTTTTCTGGTCAAAAATACTGGAGAAGTGGACCTGTCACCCTCCATATGTTATTGGCCTCCAGCTCCCATCAGCTGATGGCTAAAGTCCAAAACCATCTGGAGGGCTGCAGGTTTCTTACCCCAGGATTACTTATGCTGTGTGTGGGTTTTGTTGCTTTTAAAGAACTTGGTTTCAATTGTGTGTTATGCTGCTGTAATATATTAAGTATTTTGTTAGCTGACTTGAATACATGTTGTGCAGTGCAATCCCATCAATGATTACTCAGAAGTTGTCTTCTTTTCAAAGAATCTTGCTGTCAGGAAAGTGAGAATGTAGTATATTATAGCCGTAAACCCTATGAATGTCATATTACTTAGTTGTGAATATTAAAAAGCCCATTTGGCTATTTGTGAAGTTGCCTTGCCTAACGTCTCTTTCAGGGGAGAAGATTCCTGAGTTTTCTTTTCACATGGAACGTGAACTTCATTAAAATGATACATGGGACTGTTAAAAATCAGCTGTTGTGTTTTCCTAGGTATGTTGAACTGAAGGCACTTGCTACCACTTTGTTTTATGCTTGTGGTCATGGCCATACCCAATACCCCAAAATGTGTATAGGTAGATAATATAGTGGGGCCATAAAACTATTAGGGAAAATACATTCATATCCTAAGACATCATTATATATAAGTGCCAGGCAAAAACTATCTTCTCTAACCAGACCTTTGCCTATCTATGGCCTTTTAGAAGGGGGTGGGATGTTTTAAATGTATGTCTCTGTTTGCTCTCTGTTTTAATGTATCTATGTGGGCTTTTTTGTTCATTTAATGATTGTATATTGTTCTGGGTTGCGCTGGGCAAGATAAAGATAAGAATAAGAATAATAAGGATTCAGTTTCTTATAGAATATCTGCCTCTGTCCATTACAAGAAGGTTTCAGAACCCTTTGCCTGTTGTAGCTTATTAGCATGGCCAGATTAGGGCTGAGTGAATTGTGGAGGTAATAAATGCCTCTTGAAGCTATGTTCTCAACAGTTATTTTGTGAGGTCTGTTCTAAAGGAACCATCACTTGAACCAACTGATCTTGGTTGTGCAGTCTTGACTCAGAGTGCATGGTGACATTGTGACAACTTAACTCAAAATAGTTACTAGCCCTAGACTGTTTCCTAATCTTAATTATATCTTCATTTACTAATGTAGGTCCCTGATGACACACATTGCTGAGGTTTATTTCAGAGCCTGGAAGAAGGCTTCAGGGAATGTACTGGAGGTATATTGTTTCAAAGTTGCTACTTGTCTTTGCTCTTAAATGTGTTGGCACTCTAAATCTTGAAGCCAGTGTAGGTAGAGGCAACCAGATTGTGTACATATCACAACCACAAGCAAGCGAGGTGAAAGGCCACCTTTACTTAGCAGAAAGATCCGTTGTAAATAAGAGCACTGATACTGACATATCCAAGAGGTGTATGGATCTTCTATGCTAAATACAGTGGTACCTCAGGTTAGAGACGCTTCAGGTTACCGACTCCGCTAACCCAGAAATAGTACCTCGAGTTAAGGACTTTGCTTCAGGATGAAAACAGAAATTGCATGGTGGCGGTGCGGCGGCAGCGGGAGGCCCCATTAGCTAAAGTGGTACCTCAGGTTAAGAACAGTTTCAGGTTAAGAATGGACCTCCGGAACGAATTAAGTTCTTAACCTGAGGTACCACTGTAGTCTTTCTTTGTGGGGGAACAGTTATTTTCAGGAGGACTAATACAGCATTCATTATCTTCACTAGACAATTCACGTGAAGACTCAGTGGCCTAAGCTCTATTTGCATTAGCTCCATTCACAGGCAGCTGGCAGTTGGATGGCACTACTTCTGCAGGGAGCAAGACACTGGGAAACTAGGCTCTTGTCAATACAGCTCAAGATGCCAAACCACAATAGCATTAAACAATTATAACAAAAAAATAGGCCATCAGAATAAAAATACAGAAAATATAAGCCGCCAATTAAAAAACAGCTTGATCAAACAGCCTCCAGCAATTTGAAACAATTCAGTAAGTAGGAGAGATTAAAAACCACTTTTGATTCCCAAAGCCTTCCTGTAAAGAACGTTTTGGCAACCTGACTGAAAACTGTTAAATTGAGGTCCAGGCAAGCCTCCCATAGGAGCGAGTGCCAGAGTGCAGGTGCAGCCACAAGAAAGTCACTCTGCTTGGTCCCTACTAAATGTACTTCTGGATCTAGGACACATAGGATGGTCTCTGTTGAAGATCTTGGTAGGCAGTTGGTCCTGTGCAGGAGAAAGCATGTCCTTCAGATATACTGGCCTCAAACTGTAATGGGTTTTGAAGACAACACAGGCATTTAGAATTTGGCTCAGAGACAAGTTAGAAGTCAAGTGCAGTTGCTTCAATAACTTAGCCCTAATTTTTCACATTGATGAGGATGTGTATTTGTTCTTATTTTAGGTGATTGAACATACTTGCATTCAGGATTTCATGCATCATGCAATTCACCTCCCCAGGAACTCTCCATTAAACTCTAAAGTGCGAGAGGTGCGTTGATGTTCATGTTTTCAGAATTCCTATCTTTTCCCTTTCCACACTTTTGCCTTGCAGGGTGATCCCCCAGAACACATATTGTTCTCTCCTGAAGCTGTTCACAGCAAGAGAACACTTTAGAAAAACTTCTCCAGCATTGAGGAACCCAGTAATTAACAATAATATTTGTTTTGTGCGTTTATATTCTGCCTTTCCTAGAAGGAGCTCAAGGCAGCATGCATAGTTCTACCCTCTCATACTCACAACATCCATGTAAAGTAGATTAGGCATAGAGAGCTCTTGATTCACAAATGATTATACACTGGTTTATAAGCCATGGGATGATGGTGCAAATCCTCCTGTTGCAACTGGCCTATTACTTGCTGAGCCTCATGGCTGAGTGAGAATTTGAATCTAGGTTTCCCCAGTCCTAGTCTAGCCCTCTGACCCAGAGCTTTCCAAACGGTGTGTCACAACACAATAGTGTGTCAGCTGCAGTGTGCAGGTGTGTCACGCAAATGCTCCTCCTGGGGCTGGAAAGGGGTTAGTTAAACTCTGGTTTGCTAGTAAAACTGCATTACTGTGTTGCAAAATGATGCATGTTTAAAAAGTGTGTCACCACTCTGCTCTAATCATACAATAACAAATGATTTAATTTGAAAAGTATCTGTTCCAGTTGTTATTGTGTGTCACAAAAGTTTGACTCTCAGCATTGTTACTTTTTCTGAAACCTCAGTTTAACCTTAACCAGACTACTCTGGGGGTGGTGAATAGGATCCAGTTGGCAGGCCAGATCCTGAACTTGCCCACTCTTGGATGGGCCCTTTTTGATGGGTACATGGGGCTGCCCACTAGTACATCACCTGCCATCACTATGATGGGAGGCAGGGTTGCTCCTAAATGAGCATTTAATTCCTATTGGGTACAGTACATACAAATAGTTGTGTGGTTCTTTTGCTCTATCAGTAGCTAATTGAAATGTCTACACTCTTCATTCTTTCCAATATTCATGAGTATCATGTGGTCAAAGCATCTTCATAAGGAGAACACTTTTTAAGCATAGCATATAACATTGGTAACCAATGGTGCTCTCCAAATGTTGGAGTCCTATCACTTCCAACTAGTATGACCAGTGGTCAAGGATGATAGGAATTGTAGTCCTGCATCTGGAGGGCATCACACTGGCTATCCCTAGCATATAAGGTCATCTATGGTTGTCTGCTTACACAAACCACAGGAATTCTTATTTTTGCAAAAGCTAATCACTGGATAAAAGGAGTTGTATTTCTCAAATAGCCCATGAAATGAAATGACTAACTTCCTGCATCCTTTGCATTTATTTTCATTTTGTCAGTTGCTGATCTATTTCCACAAACAAAACAAATGTCGCCAGGGAGTTGAAGAAGTTGTTTATAGACTTTATCAACCAATTCTTTGGAGAGCATTGAAGGTAATTGTTTAAAATGTTACCTATCATCTTTGCGGATATTTTTACATCAAGATTGTTGAAAAGGAGTTGAAAAATAATTGGACCTTTTTTAAGGTAGCTTCCAATATTCTTCTGTGTTGTACGTCACCACTAGCCAAGCCTAGTCAAGCATCGATCTGACAAAATAGATAGTGCATACTCTCTTCTGTGCCAAGTACCACTACAAAGCTGCTCTCGGTTAAGAAGGGGGTCTTCCTGTAAAAAAAGGTTTCAACTTGTTTTGCATAGGGTGGCACTCCCCTTCATGAAGTGGAGATCCTCCAGAATCTGGCTTTGCTTCTGAGTTTGAGTATAATTTTATTTTTGCTTTGTGAGTCACCCAGATAACTTTTGTTTTGGTGTGGCTGTATGAAAGTCGTAAGAAAGCAAATAATAAATAAAATATAAAGTTAATGAAGAAGAAGAGGAGGAAGAAGAAGTTCAGATAATGGCTGTGGATGGGTTTGCTTTTGCCCAGGTCCAGCTGATGCACCTTTTTACTTTTTTACAAGAGTATATGATGGCTTTTACCTTGACGTGGAACCACAGAGAGCTCTGCTTCTGAAGAACTAGCTCTTTGCACGTATTTGTTAAGCACTATTGTGCTGATAAATGCGCCATCAGGTGCCTGCTAGCTTAGAAGCAGCTAGCTTATTTAGCCCTAATAAGTAAGATCCCTTGCCTGCTGCTGTGTGGAAAGGGAAGAAAAGTCTAGTGTAGTTGCCATTTACTTAAAGGTCTGAAACGGAATTATATTTTTATAATCTCATTGAGTGGAGAAAATTGAGGTAAAATGGAAGCAAAAGCTTCTGAACAGCTTGTCCTGGCTGTGTTGGAGGCAGGTTGGAAATAAGCCCGAGGCTTTCGTAGGCTCATTCTTCTAAGGTTAAACTATTGTTTATAGTTGAATTCAAATGGGACCATTAACACTGCTGCGGGTTCACACCTTAAACTCACTGTGCACCCTTGCTTTTAACACAGGACAATGATTTAGGCATTAAGGATTTGCTTTGTCCATGGTTTATATAACTATCATTTACTTGACTATTTTCCTGCTTTGTAACAGGCCAGAAACTCGGAAGTCCGATCAAATGCAGCATTGCTATTTGTTGATGCATTTCCAATTCTTGATCCATCTTTTAATAAAGAAGATATGGAAAACGAAATCCAAAGGCAATTTGATGAGCTCTTTGTAAGTCTACTGTGTGTTTCTCTCCCCACCCTCCATCAAGCTAGTTTTATTTAAGGTTAGCAAAAAGTAAGGAAATCCATTTTGCTGGAAAATTGGAGACATCAGTGCTTTTTTATTTTTACAAGTAGCTGTCTTGCTTTATTTTGAACTTTTCAGCATCATAATTACAAAGCAACCTAAAAGTAAAAACTGTGAAAACATAGATTCTTATTAGGCTAGATGATATGTCACTATGAGAATAGAGAAAGCCGATTGCTTCTCTCTTCCTCTTCCCTTCAATACTAAAATATAATGTTATTGTATAAATGTACATACACATTTATTTGGATCATTGGCTCCCACAGAAACTTAAATACTGTAAGATTAAAATATACATTGGTAATGAACATTTTAGAACAAGAAATCACTGTATTGATGAAGACATACTTTAAAGCCCATATAGGTGGAAAATATAGACATGGAAGAACTCACTTAAGTGTTGCATTTCTGAAAATATCTAAGGCATCATCCCTTGATAAGGTCTCCTTCACAAACTGTCAAATGTGAGCTGTCCAGCTACACAGAAAACTGGATGGAAATTGTGACTTAATATTCTTTATTTCCCCCCTGTTTCTAGACTCTCTTAGGAGATCCTCAACCTCTAGTCCGCTCAACAGGTGTGCTTGGTGTTAGTAAAATAGCATTCAAATATTGGGAGATGATTCCTGCAAATGTGCTTGCTGATCTCTTAAAAACTCTAATTGAAGATCTTTCTTTTGATGCAACTTCAGCTGATGTTAGATGCTCTGTTTTTAAAGTAAGTGCCTTCACAACAAAATGAAGTGTCTCTTCTTTTAGTGATTAGTTTCTCCTTGGCTTGGTTCAAATGTCACTTAGCACAGGTAAGCATGACTATGATTTAAAGGTGAACACATAGTGTGCTAGTGCACAAGGCTAAACTCACAGATACTTGGTTTCTCTCCTTGCTGCTCCCAGAAACTAAGGCATGGTTAGCATTAGAGTTGCATCCAAATCCAGGCCTGCAATTTCTTCTCCAAACTCAGAGGAGCAGGTTCTTAGCTTGGGGGTACTGCTTGATTGACATTGTCACTGCAGACAGGCCCATGTGGCCTCAGTGGTAGCCATTCCTGGATCAGGAATGACTTAGCCACAGTAACCCGTGTTCTCGTAACCTTACTTTTAGACCATTTTAATGTGCTCTACTTAGAACTACTTGTGAAGACAGTTATTTGGGACAGATGGAGGTTTTTGGGGTCATTTTTGTTTGTTTTGTTGCTGTACTTTAGTGATGGATCGATATAATTCTTTCCTAAATGTTACAGCTGCATAATTTTAATGTGCCATTGAATTTTTGTGGTTTTCATTTGTGTTTCATTGTGTCCAGGGATCTTTCAATGCAGGATAGTTTAAAAATTGATTACGCACACTGTTTTGCTTTCATTTTGCTTGCTGAAAAGGTTGGCTTTTCTCAATGCGCAACTCAGAAATGCGTTGAGTGGTTTTGGAGCGATCTCTTCTTTTGTGGGCAATTTGATGCAAGGCACTGCCACTGAGCAGTGTGTAAAGGGGAGATTGTGGGCAGGTTTGAATTTCCTCTCGGAGCTCCCCCGCTCCACCTACCCCCACAACACACACTGCTCAGCTATGTGGAGGAAGGCAGCTTGGCAGCCAGGAAAAAGTGGCCTGGGAAAAGGCAGGGCCCAGAGGAGAGGCTGCTGGGCTGAAGAGCAGGCTACAAGACAGTAGTTCCCAAGCTCTGCTTTATAGCCAATGCTATTCCCTTTTAAAAATAAGCTTTGAAATAGTTGGCATGCAAAGATCATGCTGCTGATTAGTGATGAGCTTGTTAAAACAGGGTACTTCTGATTGGAATGAGAACACAATCTTAATAACTAGAACAATGCTGTAATAGTAAAGTTCTCTAGAGCAGAAATGTTTGCTAACCTAATCATACCTTAAATTGGAATAAAAACATCAATAGATGTACCAAACCTTTTAAATGCTTCTATTCTGCATAAATATATTTGCTGTCTTTGTTCCAGTTCAGCAGCACATCCCTAGAAGGAATATTAATAGGACAATTTTTATATGCACAACATATACCACTTTGCATTTAAATGGCATGTTTTAATAAAATGTGTTTCCTTGCTTTTTGTCATTCTCCAGAGCCAGTTCTCTAAGCTGCATGTGGTTAGCAATTAGAATAGTTTCAGTTCTGTATTCCCTGCTTTCTTGTGATAACCTTTTATTGGTCTTTTTCTTTTCTCTCTTGCAGTGCTTGCCTATAATTTTGGACAACGTACTAACCCACCCATTATTGGAACAGCTCCTGCCAGCCCTGAAATACAATCTCCATGACAATTCGGAGAAAGTTAGAGTGGCTTTCGTTGATATGTTGCTGAAAATTAAGTCTGTCAAGGCTGCTAAGGTAGGATAAATTAGGTTTGCTAGGCTGCAGACAGGCTGCATAGAACTAGGCAATTTATTCTGAAAGATGTACATTCATCAGTACTGCAACAATCCTAAAAGAATAGGGGTGCAGGTAACCTATTAACACTTCACTCCAAACTATTTACTATTGTTGTATTTTAAACTAATCAGTGCCTTTGCTGGTTTCTTTTTTGCAGTTTTTCTGGCAATTATCTTGATTGTATGTCCAGCAGTTGTATTCTGTTATTTCCTGATTATTTTTAAACATAAGTTACAAATTATTGGTACTTTGTAGCTGCAAAAATAAACTGCCCCTAATTGGAAAAGATGTGAGAACTCAACTGGGCACTAACTGGATACCAAGAGCTGGGATGTTGCTGAATTGTTTAGGAAGAAATAGAACCAGGAGGGACAACTGTATTCCAACAGCTTTTAGGAAATATGAAGATATTAGTTTAGAATCAAATCGGATCAGAAGATCTATGGTCAATAATATCATTGTATGTCTGTGATCTTTTGAGTTCTTTATTTATTCCTATGTTGTTTACAATAAAACTAATAGACGCCTCTGGGGGTGGGGACTTAGAAAAGTACTTTATTTCTATTGTGTCTGCACCAGCAGCTCTTTCGTTGGTTTTTTTGGGGTGTGCATTTGCTGGAATATACATATGATGATGAGGACTTGGATTTTTATAAGGGGAAAAAAGGACAATTCTTGCTCGTACTGATAAACTTACACTGATATTTGAAAAAAGGAGAGTTTATTTTTCAGGCACACGTTGCTATGCATACTTATAAGTAATGGTTAAGCAATGTGCCATTTGATTCCCTTCCCCACTTGCAAGATTCCAAAATTACAAAGTTTTCACATTTATAAGGCTGTATAATACACTGGATTGATGCAATTTATATACTTTTAATTATTATTTTAACAGTATCATATATAATAATATTTCATTTTCAGTTGATCTATTTGAATTCATTAAATTTCTTTGAACCTGCTAATCATTATAAAGTTAATGCTCAATTTATAACTCTGTATAAACTCAGTGCTGGGTTCCATATACTGTAGTTTTCTTGCTTTTTCAATATTGTTAGTTTTATAATCCAAATTTTCCTTATCATTCTATTTACTCAGGCCACACATTATAATATACAATGCTGCTTCTTGATAGAAGGTGGCATATTTTACATAATTCAGTAAGCAGAGTAAAGGGTCTGTCGATGTGTCATTTGAAAGCTGGCCATGTTCCTTACAAGTATGTTCAGATGTTAGTACCTTTTTAAAGCACTGCTGACCACTGCTACTTGCTCTTTATGTGTGGCAAGATCAGGAATGAGCCTTGAGCTCTTCCTTTCTGCTCTTACCTCTGGTCAGGGAAGTGAATGCAATTATTTGCAAGCTCTCCTGACCCTAGATATGGAACCTGTTTCTGCTTTAGCATCCATAGTCTTGCTTAGATAAATGGAGTCTCTTTGTTGGCACTTCTGCACCTGTGGGAGGAAGAACAGGCCCATGGCCCATTCCTAACAGTGCTGAGAAGAGGGAAGAGAGAAGAGAGAAAAGGGAAGAAATATCCAAATAGCTGTTCAGCTGTGATACAGGTTTCCCAATTTCAACCTGCTGCAAAAAAGCATTTTCATACTCATGCAAGTGCATTGAGACCAGCGTGTGTACAATAACTGCATGAATAAGATCTTCTGCTCCCTGCTCTGTTTTTAACCCCAAATAGTGTGTCTGGAACTGCCACAATAAAGATGTGGCATTCTGTTCCCAGAAGCCTTATCTAAACTCCATAGATTGGATGCAGACAGAGGTAGATAACAAGGTGTGATACAGGACAAGGACATGTTGGAAGAGGGATAGTTGATTTTAACATTGTCTTTTTACATTGTTGGAGCCTGCATAGGTTTGTGGGAACAATTTATAACCTTTATGGTAAAGGACGGGTAAGAAATAATAATAGTATTGACTAGCAGACATGCTGAAAGGTTGAGGCTGTGATGATCCAGGGGGGGATTTGTAAAGGAATGTTTTGAATAGAGATTTTAGAAAAAGCATCATGTAAAAAAAGGCAAAATGGGATTATTAGATAATGTAATCATGATAACTTTTTTTCTTCCTCTTCCTCACCTCCATACTGCCCTGCTCCAAATTCCTCACAAATCAGTTCTGGAAAATCTGTCCTATAGAGCATCTCTTAACTCGCCTTGAGATTGATTCACGGCCTGTGTCCCGGCGCATAGTAAATCTCCTGTTCAGCTCTTTCATGCCCATCGATCAACCAGAAGAAGTGTGGTGTGAGCGCTGTGTCACACTAATCCAAATGAACCCTGCAGCGGCTAGAAAGTTCTACCAGTATGCTTATGAGTACACCAGCCCAACCAACATAGGTAAAGTTCTGGAGAGCTAATGGCTTGGTTTATAATAAAGAATCTATGAGCAAAAGTATTGTGTAGTAGCTCTTACTGTAAATGCTCGTAGACCAGTAGCTGCTTCTGAAAATTCTGTGCCAAATTATAAATGCCGGGAAGGGGAAGAGAGAGAGAGAGAGACCTATATGGGGTTTTTATTCTTATTGCTACCTTTTATATGCATGCATTATGTATCTACTTGGCTTATTTATTTTTAAATGGAGATCGTACTTAACTCCCTCCTCAGTGCATAGCCATTGAGTGATACAGGGTGTTAACTTCAGCCACATTTAAATAATTTATTTTTATTTTATATTAAAATATATAGCCATGAAGATGCTCAAGGCCATTTACAAATCAATTAAAAACACTAGCAAGAAATAGAATGAATAAAATATTAAGCTCTAAGCAGCACCGTGTTTTATCATTAAACTGTTTTTATTTTTATATTTTGTTTACATTGAAGACTTTAAATGTTTAAATTTACTCTTTTTTTGAATGTAAGTAATGATTCGGTTGACTGCTTTGCTGCCCACTACTTTAAATTGTTCCTGTTTCACACTATCTTTCACAATTGCACACTTTGTTCTTTAATTTTAGCTAAATTGATGCTTACCATTCAGAGCTGTTTGAACGCCTGTATCCGGCAGGGATTAAAAGCATCTGACAGCGATGATGAAGACAGTGAGAAAGAGAACATGAGTGTAAGAATGCAACACAAAGTTTCTAAGATAAAAATGCTAATTAGGAGAATAAGAAGTGGTCTATGTACTTGGCTCAGTATTGTCTACAATGACCAGTAGTGGCTTTCCATGGTTTCAGACAGCATGTTCCCAGCCAGGAATTGTACTCGGGACCTGAGCCTTTCTTCTGTCTTGCTCTTTGGGGCAAAATATAGAGGACAACTGTTCACTGTTTCACCTACCAAGAGTGTTCTTTGGTGCTTGTTGTGGGATGTGATGTTCCCCAGTTGCAGTACAGCTGCTAAACCAAGGTTTGGCTTAGTGTGTTGTCCAAACCTAGAAGACTGGTTAGTAGGACAGACCAGAAAGGAGCAAAGCAGCTGCAAGTTCCTATCTAGGAGCCAGCACACTCTGTCCTAGTAGGCTATGTTAGCTTTACTGTGGAACTAGGCCTGTGTGAGGTGTGTTTACTCTGTACCATATTGATTATTACTGGGATTGTCAGCACCTGAACCAGATTTAAACTATAATTTCGTTCTAGCAGCTAAATTTCTGGCAGCTAAATTGCTAACCCATAAACAGCTACAATGTTTGTATATTCATCTAGGCCAGTGGTGGCCAAACTTGGCCCTCCAGATGTCTTGGGACTACAACTCCTATCACCCCTAGCTAACAACCAGTGGTCAGGGATGATGGGAATTGTAGTCCCAAAACATCTGGAGGGCTGAGTTTGGCCACCACTGGTCTAGGCATTTTCTAAAGTAAAAAATAAATTCATAAGAAGTATTACTTGGGGCTGGGAGCTGCCCAGAGTGGCTGGGGAAACCCAGCCAAATGGACGGGGTATAAATTATATTATTATTATTATTTATTTTTATTTTTATTAATATTATTATTACTGTGTTTTCTTTAGGCTTTCTTTTGCAGTCTCTGGAAAGGCTTGCTTTGAAATGCTGGTTTCCCTTGCTCTACCTGCCCCCGCATTCCTTTTTCAGGGTCCTCATCTTGTTTCTGTATCTCTAGCTTCTATCAATGCCTACCAGCCCTGATGCCTATGTTCCCCTACCACTGTTGGTGGCAGTATGCATCTGAATGTCAGTCGCTGGGGATCACAAATTTGGAGAGAACTGTTACTCTCAGGTCTTGCTTTTGGTATTCCCATATGCATCTGGTTGGCCATTGTGAGAACAGAAAGCTGAACTAGATAGGCCATTGGCAGGATCCAATGGGTTCTTCTTATGTTCTGTGTTGCGTTTGGGAATTCTAAAGCAATAAAATCTAGATTCTAGGATGTTAGTTTTCAATGGGTATTATTACATGATCTAAGAAAAAAACAGTTAATGTTCATTTCCCCCTTGATTCCTGGAACACTGGCCCTCTCAGATAATAGCAAACTTCTAAAATTGCTTTCTTTCTAAAATTCCTGACAGCATCCGTTGTATTATCATACACATGAGTTCAAGAAGGCCCATTCCATTTTTTTAAAGCCTATAAGCCTAATTTGAGATGCACTGTGCAAGAGAAATTGCATAATAATCCTCACTTGTTTACATTTCAGGTGCCACATAATGTGTTGTCAGTTGATGACATACCTTCCATGGCAGGCTTACTTGAAATAATTGTAATTCTGTGGAGAAGCATTCAAAAACCACTTAATCACAACGAAGGAGCCAAAAACCATATTGTCCGAAAATTTGCTTCTGTGCTATCTGAATATTTAAAAGTATTTAAGGTAAGTTCTCCTGTGAGGTACACTTAAAATTCCTATAGATGTATTAGATGCAAAGGTTTCATTCTGTTGGTGGAAAGGGTACAATTGCAAACAGAACAGCCCCCTTGAACTCCAACTCACAGTAATACTTACCTCACAAGCTTTATTCTGTGGCCCCTTGTCCCTCACCAGGTATAGGGGAAAGAATGCAAAGGTATTAAAAACAGAAAGAAGGAACTTGCTTGGGTTTTTGTGTAGAGGGAATACAGTAGGAATAAGAGAATTCTGTGAAGTACAAGACAATCAGTTCATCATCATCGTAATAATTATTATTACTATTATGAATTACATTTGTATACCACCCTTCATCCAGGGATCCTAGGGTGGTTCATAACAGATCATTAGATTGAAGAACTGCAGTACATGCATCCAACATCCTGTAGATAAGAGAAAGGGTTAGAAGTTTTGCAGATGTGTTGTTATTGGTCTGCCTCTGTATTTGCTCTAACTTTAAGACATTAAATCATAACGTTGCTGTAACTTTAAATGCATGGATGCTCTTTCCATATATATATATATATGTGTGTGTGTGTGTATATATATATATATATATATATATATATATATATTCATATGGAATGTTTGTCATTCATAGATCTCAATGATCAGAGATTCTTTTTATTCAGCGCTGTTCAAAACTGTAAAAAATGCACTGGGAAGTACAACAGTAAACATATGCAAGCCAAGTGTACGTAAGATCTAACAGTATTGCTAGTCTATATTTGTAGCACAGTCTAGGCAGACCAAACTTGTGGCAATCAAGTATACAAGATGTATCAATATGAATCAGACTTAATAATTCTTGACCTGACTTTTTGAGAATCTTAATGAATAAGGAACTTGCTGTGAAAATGGAGGGGCACCATTTGGTTCTCTTTGTAAGTGGCCTTGTTTACCAAATGTTTAGAAATTCCTTATTAGACTGTTCTTTGTTTCAACCTAGGATGATCGTTGTGTGTCACCAATAATTGTCCTTGCATCTTTCATGACTCCTGCTGCTATTCCTACATTCAGGTATTTATGTATTTACTTATAGTTCCAAATGTGGATAGAAACTTTTCCTGTCAACTGTGTGCCATGCAGATTTGATTCTAGTAAGGATATTTCGATCCATAGGCATGTTGAAAAGTTGTGTAGGCTTTTGAGGTAACTTTATGTACTTAAATGGCTAACGTGCCGTGTTTGCATTTGTTTCTAGTTGTGGTGTGGTCTCTAAACTGAAGAATCTGGAAAATGGTGCCACTGAAAACAATTACTCTTCCCTTCTTGACTGTCTGTGTCGTTGGGGGAAAGTGGGACACATTCTTGAATTAATCTGTGATTGGATAACTGCTGAACCAGTTGGAAGAGAGGTGTGTTAAAAGTCTGGCTTTGAAACTTGGCAGAGCAAAGAGTATATTGTTAATGTAATGTTTGAAATACTGTACTGTGTCAAAAAAGAAAATAATAAAAATTATACTTAAAAAAAAGTTGGGCTTTGAATCGTTGCCTTATGCGCCTTTTGTAGATGGATCGTTGCTTTAGTTAACATTTTAAAATGATATCTTTCTACTGTTTAAATATAAAGGAGCTCTTTTCTCTTTGTATTTAGAGTAATGGCACTTCTGAACGGCGAGTACGTATCCAGGAGACACATGAGTCGAAACCAGAATTGGCGCTTGATTATATGGAGTATTTGCTGACTCATTACATGAATCGGGAATGTCTCCTGTCACTCCCCAAAGAGAAGCTGGACCATCTTTTGAAAGCTCTTGAAGCTGCAAAGGTTAGATTTCACTCTTCCACAGTATTGTATGGCAATCTGAATTAATGCCAGCAAGTAACATATAAGGTTTTCTGCTGTTATCTGCCTTGTGGATATCTTTCTCTGCTCCATAATCATCCAGTAAACCTTTGAAGCAACTTATTCCAACAAAATGTAGCTTTCATATGTTGCCTAAGAGTTTATCTTTTATTGTGGGTCAAATTGATGTAAAAATCTTCATCTCTGTTCAGAATGCATACATAGTGTTATCAGGCTATGTCAGTTCAGATTAGCATTGCTTGATAATATTGGCCAAAGATTCCCAAAAGATAAATGATATATGATAATTGTACTTCTGTTATTCTATATTTGCTCCAACCTGGAACCTTTGCATTTGCAAGGAGCAGCAGGATTGTGCAGATTACTTAATACAGCAACTACCATGAGAAAGACCTTGACTACAGTGATGTGTCTGTATTTCCTCACAGGCACAAGCCTTTTTTGTCTCTTATTGTGCAAGCTCTGTAATAAAATGGAACAGTTTGAACAGGATGATGCAATGCATGCTAATATATGCTTGCTGGAGTGACACTTAAACTAGGTTAAAGTAGGCAATGTGGCAATATGCCAGATGGGCGATACTGGCTGTTTACTTCAGGTGTATGGATTAACATTTTATTTGAGGGTGAGCATACAGTGCATCATCAGAATTGGGTAGCTAGGTTGCCTAGTGTAATTTTCTCAATAGAATGAACAATTAGCCTCTTTTGTATTGGTTTATGGTTCATGTTGTCAGTTCTGGGGATCGTTCTAGCTTCACACTATTTTGCTTATGTGTGTGATGGCCAGGAATGTAACCCCCACATAAGATGTGAATTACCTGTACTCGTAAATAGCCTCCACTCCTCAAAATCTCTTGTTTTCTTCCTAAGTATGAATTTTACATTTCAGGATGTTCTAGGCTCTTCTAGTAGAGGATCTGATGCAAGGCCTCCCTTTTACCCTGCAACTGCACTGAGAGCCTTCAGTCTGTATTGCAGATTAAATATACATCTTCAATATAAGGTACTGTCATGTCAAGAGTTGCTCTGCGTTTGAGCAGCAATAGCTCTCAGAATCTGAATATATTATATCACATATTTGTGTGCTTCTGTTTTCATCTTAACAGTTTGCCTCTGAAGGGCAGGAGTACCTGTCAGCTTTGGAGAAAGCAGGAGCTTGGATAGAAAGTAGCATTCTGCCTGCTTTTGAAATAGATGAACAGGAAGGCAACATAGAGCAGCCCAGTGAAACCTCTCAGCTGGTGGTTCAGGTAAAATGTATGTGCATGTTGTGGGGTTTTTCTCATGTATTTTGAATTAGTGCAGTACCTCACACTGGCTCAATTCAGACCTCACACCAGAGAAACACAGATGCAATCCATAATTTAGACCTGCTTGTGCTCACCTATGGTTTGATCACCTATGGTTTCCTTTTACTTTATTATATTTTTATCTCACTCTTCCAAGATACTCACAGTTGCTTCACTTACTCTTCTCTTCCTTAGCTCTGTGCTCTTGTTTATGTGGCGCAACAGCCTTAAGAGGTAGACTAACTGCCATGCCTATGGTTTGTCAATTTGTACAGAAACTTGTTCAAACCATGGCCTTAGACTGATTTGCTGACTGGCTTTCAGACCATGAGATGTCAGATCAGATGCCATGATAAATCGTAGCTAAGCTTCCTTAACTGTGGTTTGATGTTGGATATCGATTGCAGGATCATTTTGTCGTTCTTTTTTGGTTTTTACAAGGGTGAGTTCCTCAAGAGTTGTGCTAGTAACAGCCCGTGGAACAAAGGACTGTACAGTAGATGCTAAATCCTTCAAAGCACTCTTCTGCTATTTACTTAGGAAATGCGTGATAAAACATGAGTCTGGCTTCTTAAAAAACATGTAATTTTAATATTAGCTAATGGGATGGATAAATAAACTCCCTATGTCTATAAAATAACTGCCCTCCAGTTATTCTGCTTGAAGGGTAGCACTGTAAAGTTTGTTTATTCACCTATAAAAGTTGATCCAATAGCAAGAGCCTATTAACTCTTCTTTTGGATTAAAACTGTCAAAAATGAGCTGACATTAGGGAATACTGGATTTTTTAAAAAATGACAAAAATGTTTAAACAGAAATTTTAAAAATTAAACTTTGTATTTCCTAGCTTGGTAACAACTTGTCATCCATTTCCTAATCTCAAGCATGCTTTAATCTCAATAGAAGCTTAATAACTGCATCTAAATATTAAGTACTGGTCATGCACAAAAATCTTAATATATTTCAACTTTTCATATGTAGAATTACCTGACAGTTTGCAAAGATGTTATAGCTGTTGGCCTTGGTGATTCAGAATTTCAAGCACACCTTTTGAACTTGACCATTGTCATCATACACACAGGTATGTTTCTGGCTAATTAACACTGCCTTTTATTTTGTGTGGTTAAGATTGTTTGGCCCATAAGCCTTTAAAACATGACAAGGATTCCACATTTCCAAAATTAAAATTTGTGAAACTCTGTACTTTAAACGTTGTGTAGGCACATTCATACACAGACACACACACCAATATGCAAGGTAAACATACAAAGTAGATCCCAGAGAAGAGAAAATTAGCAACATTGGAAAAAGCATATATTGTGTAATAAAATACATATTTATAAGGGTTGCATCCGATGCCATCTGTGGGCAAGTAGAACTTTACCTTCCTCTCCTCTTCCATGCAACCCTCACAATCTTCTTTGGGGTGCTGCAAGAGGAAGGAGAGAAGTCCAATTCATATAGTGGGGCTTCACATCATGAAGTTTGCTTGTACAATACTGGATTCTGTCCAAATGGTATAAATTGTAGTAAGCTAATGACAATGTTGATACAAGTAGGTTTCTGTATGCAGTAATAACAAATAAGTTATATAATGACTGTGCAATTCAGCTGTTGATACTAAAATGAATTTTATAAATGCTGTTAGTTCTAGAAAGTACTAGTTCCAGAGGTGAGCCTGAACTGCATATTGTGCAAGCAGTTAGATAGCAGTGACATGTCTCTGATGCAGAGAACAAAGCAAATCCAGCACAGACACTAAAATCACAGTTCAATGATTACCCTACAGGATATACCTAGTAAGATGTTGCTCTTTTAACTACTTCACCAAAATACCTCCTTTTCTGAGTGCATTAATTGGATAGTAAAGCCATAGAGCCAAAACAATTCCTCTCCTGTATTAGAAATGAGGGTCCTTTTTCAGTCTGAAAGCCGCATTGCCTTCTGGACGGCCTTCCATGGACCACGGGTCAGTGGTAGGCAGAGCAACAAATGTCAATTTTACCTTTGGTACAGTAGGCTAGTTTCTACACCCACTCACATGCCCCTCTCTAAGCGAGAGCTTTTATGTGAGTTCATGGACACTTTTCAGTTGGGCAAAAATGCTTGGCCAGGCCACTGAGGACATATGGCCTAGGGAGACAGATTCTGAGTGCCAGAGATGAGGCTTGGAGAGCCACAGTCATTCTCCCACCCTGAGGCTCCTCGCTTCTGTCCTTTATGATGTCCACAGTGTCTATGCAGCAGCCTCCACTCTGTTGATGCACATAATTGGCAGCTTCACTATATGCTCTTCTGAATATATCATTAAGTTGACACTTGGGCAGCCCTTTGTTTCAGGCTAAGAAAGCCTATTCTTGAGTAGACTGGCTGCCTTTGTTTCTGGATGAATAGGCATTCTGTGTGCACATTTGCAAGAAACCAGGTAGGACACATGGCATCCATGGCATGGGTGGAAAGAGACATGATCGGGATATAGGTCAAATCCTGTTTTGCTACCTTGCAGAAAAAGTGTGTGCACAGGGTACTGTAACTTCATAAAGGAGCTAAACTGGTGAGGAATGCCTGTAACATTGATGTGGTTTAGTGGTTAGAGCGTCTGAGTAGGACCTAGGAAGCCAAGGTTCAAATACCCACTCAGCCATAGAATCGTAGAATTGTAGAGTTGGAAGGGCCATCTAGTCCAACCCCTTGCAATGCAGAAATTCTGCCCACAGTTGTCCCTGGATGGGCTCAAACCACCAACCTTCTGGTTAACAGCCAGATACACTGACTCATTGTGCCACAGGCTCCCTGGATACCATGAAGCTTTCTGGGTGACCTTGGGCCAGTTACTGCCTCTCAGCCTAACATAGTATCTCACAGGGTTGTTGTAGGGATTAAATGGGAGAAGGGCAGAACCATGTACCCCACTTTGAGTGCCTTGGAGAAAAAGGTGTGAGATATACATGCAGTAAATTAATTAAATCAATAAATATTGTAAGATCATAGGATCAATAACCTCCAGGAATTAATTGGCCATTAGACAGACAGACAGACAGTTATATGGGGTGGCATAGCTTAAAATCTGAATTCTGATAGTTAATTTGGTTTTTCTTTGCTTAGACAGAGGCTATGTCTGCATTCCAATGATACTTGGTATCCTGAGAGAGATGGTTGAAGCTTCTTTAGCCCATAATACTGATAGCAGTGACTGGGAAGAGCTTCTTGACAATGTTCAGAAGATGTTCCAGAAGATTCTAGAATGTATGGCACTGAGACTCAGAAGACAGCGTGAAGAAGGAATCCAGGTATTTGTTGCATATGAAGTTGGCCAGCTTGTTTCTTGCCAATTGAATGACTTATTCTATCTACAATTATTGGGGAGTGAAACCTTTAAGGTGATGTGAACACTTTTCCGTTTGGCAATCACGGCTGTATTGGCCAGGCATGGCTGTTGCTCACGAAAGAGTATAGATACCGTAACTTGGGAGAATAGCCTCCAAAGAAATATAGGGGTATTGATTTTTCTCTATAGCAAGGAGATGTGTGTCCCTTTGATGCCTACTTTTATTCTTAAACCAAATTTTTAAGAAAGTCAATGAAAGGCAAGAGGTCATTGCAAATAAAAAGAAACAGAGAAACACACCAGTTAAAAGGAAGAAGTAACAGTATATATTTTATATATGCCAACAATCTGCCCAGACAAGCAAAATTACTGCTTGATGAAGGGACAAAGTGGTCATTAGTTTTCATAGCAGGCTTTTCAATAGCTTTCATAAACATTAGTGCCATGATTTCTCGCCTGTGTCTCTGATGAAGGGCTTGCCTGAAATTCAGTGCTGGTACAAGTGTGAAAGGATGATGGACTAGCTTAAGTAGTGTCTTCAAGCTTTGCATGCCACTATTCCGAAGCTGTTTCCTTATAGCAACCTTGCCAGAAATGTGTTACCTCCACTTTGACTGTTACTTGACTCCTATATTTCCATTTCGTAGTGAGGTTGTTTAATCCCTTTGTCAGCATTAATTCTTAGTTTCAGTTTCATAAGGATTCATGACCCTGTTTCTTCTTGAGCCTTTTAACACTCTTTATATTGGAAAAATAATTCTGCACAGACTATTGGAACTGGGCTGTTGATCACGATTTGGGTTGTTTCTAAGCAGCAAAGAATTGGAGCACGTTAATTAATTTTACTATTCTAAGATTTGTGTCATAGTACCAACATGGGAAAGTGCATGTACTTACTTCCATCCTCCACTTTCTGAAACAATCTAGTGATGCTACACTGCTTGCATGGGCTGGCTGGAACTGGGTGCGAGACTTGTTCCCTCTTCCACATGAAAGTAGGCAGTTCACCTTCAATGCTCTTTGTAGACTGCTGTTACTGGGTACATGTTTTTAAGCTGCTGTGACTTTCATGAAGATTTTCTCTGCTCTGAGTTCTGCAGCTATGCCCAAATGATTAAACTCCTGAAAACAGACTCATAACTCTTGTTCTCTCTGAAAGTGTTATCCTTGAGAAATCTAAATCTGTTTATTCAAAGGGCTGTTTATGACTTCTAAAGCCTGACTTCCAAAGCTCAGGCCCAGGACCACATTCTGCCATGCAAACCCGATAGCGTTCTGACACCTTCAGGGGAGGCCCTTCTCTTGATCCTGCCACCCTTACAGGGATGTTTGGAAGTGGCTGCTCTCAGACTCTGGAACTCCCATCCTAGAGAAGCTAGACTGACTCTCTTGTTCTTCTGGCAAGTTCCAACATTTCCAAGTTCCAAGACTGTTTTATTCCAACAGGCTTTTAAATAGTGATGTGCTTTTTTTACTATCTGCATTTTAATTACATTTTAACTACTGTATTACCTTTTGTATGTTTTTAGTCTTCTGTATTTTATTTGTATTTTAAATTGTGTACACTGTCTTTTGTGTTCCAGTCTGGGAAATATGCGGATATAAATAAACATAATTATAATATAATATAAAACTATTTTTTATTTGTTCTAGTTCATTCATTCTGTTCAGGAGCCTCTTCGAGAATTTGTACATGTGGTTCAGTGTTGTGCTTTGACTTGTCCAGCTGTTCACCATGGAGTCCTTTCTTCTCTGCTTGCTGCAACAGTAGTCGAGACAGGCTACACCTTGCAACACAAGGTACAAGGCTTTGTTTTGCTTTCTTTCTAAAAATGCTCTGTAAGCATGAAGGGAAAGGGAGGTATCAAGTGATCATGCACAGGTTTATTAGTGAATTGGTGCTGAGATATATTTTTTGTACTAACTTGTATACTCAGTGTATTTTATAAAAAGAATGTCACCATAAATCCAAGATCTTATTCTTGTGAATATAAATTGCTTGCTGTTGCACTTTTTATTACAACTATAAAACTGCAGTTCATTTTTATTGTCTAATAACCTTACCATAAATTTATTATTGTTGGAGAAACTGGCTTGTCTTCAGTTTTTGGAAGAGTTTAGATATAACGACAAAAATCCAGTGCCAGTTAACAAACTACCTTTCATTTATCTTGAATAATGCTACTCCCCCCCCCCATCTTATAGACAGTTGATGGTCTAGAGTGGTGACTAATCTGTGACCCTCCAGATGTTGTAGCTTGCATCAGCCATTAGAGTCAGGAATTATGGGAGCTATAGTCCAAACTAATGTAGAGTGTACCACAGGGTTAGCTACTGCTACTATGAAGCATGCTAGGAGTATCTGTTTTCCATGGACTCTGCTTCCTAAGAGCCTTTAAAATATGTTCAAGCCCACATGTGTTCATTTCCACTCAGAAAAGCTGGATAGATTGTTCGGGGATGAGGGGGACTTCTAACAAGCATTGATTCTACCTGAACTGAAAATGTGAGTTCTGAGTGGCTCTGCCCACCTTGACCAATACCTAAAACAAGAAGTATAAAGGTGGCAGCAGCAGTGATGGGAAGAAAAGGAGAGAGTGGTGTGGAATACTTTCCAGACTTGCAGCTGCTGTCTGCTGTAAGTGGGGAACCACCACTGGTCTACATGTCAAAGATTTTGGCCTCAAGGTTATTAGAAATGCTTCATGTCTCACTATCATTCTTATGGGAATTGAAATTCAGCCTGAAGGGTCTCATGGCAGTAATCCGTCACGCAAAATTACAGTGAGCAAAATGTAGAATGTTCTGCAAAACTGAAAGGCTAAAGGAATGCTTGGTCCCTATTATTACTTCAATGCTGTCAGTGACCTTTTGTAAGGTGAGACATGGGGACCAGTACCTTCCCTCCTGGTTCTTTGCTAACAACCATGAAAGAAGCATTTTAAACTGTATCTTCTGATTAGCTTTTGCCGTCTGTTGCTCTGTGCTTCCCCCTCAGAAGAAAGAAATGAGACATAGGCTGCACCAGAAATCTTAAAGCTATCACAGTTAGCTTCTTGGATGAGGAGCACAGCTGCTGAATTTCTGTCTTTGTTTCTTAGAATAATGTTTTATTGGGGTTTTTTTGTTTGCATTTGTTTTTATTATACAGACTTACGTTTTCTGTGTTGTGTTTTTGTATACCACTTAGATATTTTTTAGCAGCTCAAAATTATCTGAAATAAATGTCTTGCCAGACATATACTGGGGGGGGGGGATGGTCATCCACCTTGCTCTCTTTTGTGCAAGAAATCCTGACAATTACCATTCCCTTTGGTGTGGACCCCAGTCAGGGAGCCCAGCCAGGGTATATACCAAGCCTCAGCTCTGCTGTGACATGTTTACTGGTATTAGGTCCAGTGTCTCAAGGACCTATGAAAAACCAAGGCTTTGGGGAAATATGCCAAGGGGTGTTCAGGCAGTTTTCAAGCATACAAAGGACACTACCTAAGCAAATTATTTGGGCACCAGTAGAGTGAAGGCTGATTCTAGAAACATCACATCTAGTCCAGCTGTCTGTTCAGATCTGCACAATTTGTTTTCATTTCATTTTCATAGAAATAATACATTATTATTAGTAGTAGTATTTTCATGGATGAGCTCAGAGTGGCTAATGAATTGTATGGCTTCCAAGTTGCCTCCTATCTAGGCAGCTTACAGGCCAGATCTCAGCTCCATACAAGCTGTCATGTGATTTCATACCGTTCTCCAGGCCCTAGCCTAAAGTCCCCAAGAAAAGGCAGCTTCATTGTTGTTAAGTTGCAGATCTGTGAGGACACGAGCCAAATAATAATAATGTAGCTGCATTAATGATGAGTGCTAGAAAAGCTCTAAATCAATTACACACTCCTATGCATACTTTTTTCCTCACTTAATCATTGTTCATTCAAATGTGGAATTCACTCAACCGAACGGCAAAAGCGTGCTTGGAAGAGTCACACTTTAGTAAGGGCGGTGTCAAGGACACAGAGCTGAAGGACTTGGTAATGGTACTTTGAATGAGATTTTCAAGTGATAGCTGCCAGTTCAGACCTCAAGCTGGTCAGTGGACACCCCCCCCATTCCTACCCAATGAGAGAGCACTATGCCATCTGTTCCCCGTTAGTTATGACCCCTAAATTTACTATTAAGCCACTGTCAACCTTCACACTGCTCTAAATGCCAGCAGGTGCAACAGACCTTTCAGAGCTTAGTGTGCATTCCCCTATCAAAGCCACAACAATTGCTAATGTATGGTTTGAGATAATGTCATGTAGCAAGTACTGCTTTTGTCAAGGGGATGGCAGTTTCCAAAGCCAATTCTCATGACCTTTCATTCACTCATAAAATGGATTGGCTTCCTAATCCTTAGAAAAACTGCACTTTTGTTATTAGGTGGTATTCTGCATGCACATGTTCCACTGTATAATTTTTTTTTTTCTAAATAAGATCTCCAGTACACATTCTAGGACTACTCATGGCAAGGGGCTGAGCAAGAAGTGGCTGGCTCTATGCTTTGCCTCAATAATGGTATCAAGTAACGAGACAATAGGAGCTGAATGCTCCTTCCGCCTGTCAGCTTTCCTTTTTTAAAATCCTAATTGTAGACATCTAGTAATTCTTTTTCTGGCTGTTCCGGTTCTGGTTGAATATTACATAAACTTAAAGTATCAAAATTCTTTGCCTGCTGTGTATTCACTTCCAGTTTGCCTGAATAGAGTCTCTTTGGGTTTCTTCCACTTTAGGCGTCCACTCCAGAAGAGCTGACTCCACCTAAGTCTTTTTCAGACCTCCCCCCACTATCAAGTATTTTGATGGCAATAGTGAACAAGTCAGCAAATGTGGTCAGGTAAGTTCTTTCTATCCCCACCCTCCCAAATGTATGCAGCAAAGCAGATAGCCCCATTTCTTCTTGCATCACTGCTTGTACTCCTGCCTACATTGCGGAGGAGCAAGTGTACCTTCTTCCCCTGTACCATGCAGTTGAACCCTTGAGTGTGATGTGGGCTGCTGATGGCAGTGCTTTACATGAGCGTGCGAAAGAGAGAGCTGATGGGGTAAGTATGAATTGGAGCCAAGCTTTAATTCCTTGTAGATACAAAGGCAGTTAATATCCACTGGCAGATCTCCATGTCTTATCAGCCAACTTTTATGCTAGGCTTTTTGTTTCTTTCTTCCTTTATTTTACAAATTGGTAAGAGCTCCTTCAGACCTATACTTTATACTGGCAGCCTGAATGCATTTAGTTATACTTTCTTTTTTATTGGAACCTTAATTTAGCACTAGTATGTTGAAGACTAGTTTTACCACTCTTCAAACATAATACAAACAGAGCTATTTTAGGCCTGCAATGTTGATCCACCCTACATTTAAAAAAAATAATTAAAAAAATCCAGGAAAATGGGTTCTACTTTAAATATACATATTTGGTCATCACTACTCGGAATACATGCAGTTGCCCACATCAAAATGCACCGTAGATTGCCACTATGGGGCCCCCAACCCCAGGCAATTGGACTGTGTTCCTTGGCTTAGTTTGACAGCTGTATCAGAGAGAGGAAAGAAGACCCCACCTCCTTAGAACTCTCCTCCCCCACATGGTGGTCTCTGCCTTGGCAGTAAGTGACAAGCTGTTCTCCAGTCAGTGCCTTTATCTTGAAGCAAGCTACTGTTATTCCCACTCCACCCCATCCCGGGCTTTAAGCTATCTAGTTGAAGCCTATTCTACTATGCATTTCCTTGAACAAAATGGATGAACAAAGACTCTTCCAAGCTGCTTCAGTTTCTCAAGTACTGTATATGTATTGGAGCAGAATGACGGACAGTCAGTTTTAAGACTACTCACCAAAGAAATTTGCAAAAATTAAGGTTCTCCCTCTAAAATGACATGCCCTAGTCTGTTATACTTGATTTAACCTGGAAATCTATTTACTAAGAACCTGTTTAATTATTCATGTACTTACTTCTATTCATATACTGTACTTATTTCTGTATTTGACAACATTAATCTAAAAAACACAGTTTTAGAGCTCATATTGAACTGTTCAGTTTCCAGGGATCAGGAACTTGTTGCATTTGAAACTACCATTTTTGCCACATACAGTCCTTGAATCTAAAATCAATCTATCTTGTAACCATTGCTGCTGAAACCATACTTTGTCATCAGTTTAGCTTGGGGTTGAAATGCACTTCCTTTCTCATGAGAACTATTTCCTAGTAAGAAAAGTGTGAGTGTGTATTGGGTGGCAGTGGTGCGTTACTCCTAGAAGACTGAATATTTTGCCATTTTCACTTTCAAATGCAACATGAGAAGCTGAATATGATTGTACTTGGTTTCCCTCACCAGATAGGGTGTAGTTCACAGGCAGTTTTGTATAAGACGCGAGTTGCTGAATTATACAAAGGATGTTGTCATCTTTACTTATGTTTACATCACAGTGGGTTACATCTAGAAGGATTTTCCCTCTAACTATATGTATGACTATTTAGTTCTACTAGGTTGGTGACTTTGTTTCTAAATGCTTGTGCATTTTAAGAAAATTGTCAGGAATTGTACATTTGGTAGCAGTGGGAGAGCTCAGTAGGTAGAGCATGAGACTCTTAATCTCAGAGTCGAGAGTTCACGTTGGGCAAAAAGATCCCTGCACTGCAGGGGGTTGGACTAGTCGATCCTCATGGCCCCTTCCAACTCGAGAATTCTATTATTGTAATGCTAAGAATGGAGATGCGGTGTTTTGTCCTATTTGCCCACCTCCTCACCCAGATACACTGGAACGGAGGGAGTTAACTTGGAAAGGGATTAGGGCTATGGTCCGCCTAGAGAGGCTGCAGTGGAAAGTTTGAGGTAGGAGGGAGGGGAAAAAACTGGGCTGAAGGTGGAGAAAGGAAGTAGCTGTTCTGAGGTTCCTGGGGAGGGCGAAGTGACAGCATTGGATTTGGTAACAGTACCTTGAAGTTTTTAAGAGTTTTGCACAGGATCTTAAACCTAAGAACTCTGAAAGCTATTGTTTTTCCCCCTCTTTACTTGTATATTTAATGCATATTCCGTTCATTCTTAGATCTTTTCTAAAGGAGTTAACAGAGTCCATTGAGTCTGAAGAAATTGAAGGGATTGTCAGCATTGCAGCAACTGTGTACATTGTTGCTTTAATTAAAGGTGAGTAAAAACAAAACTTTGAAATCACTGAAAGCTGCACAAGTTTAATTCCGATTTTTGGACTCCCGAATTGCTTTTGACAACCCCTCATCAAAGACTTTAGAATAAGCTTGCTAGTTAAAGCTTTCTAGTAAAAGATCAAGAAGCAGGCATTGGAAGTAAACTGGTTCACCTAAGAGAGGGAGATAAGTATGACTCTCCTAAGGATCTGTATAGGGACCAAGGCCACTTAACTTGTTAAAAATGATTTGAAGTTGAGAGAGCAGGGAAGTAACCAAGTTTGCAGATGATGTCAAATTATCCGAGATGTTGGAAATACAAGCAGACTGTGAAATGGTACAAGGGAATCTCTGCAAGCTAGCTTGAATAGGTGTTAAAATGGAGAATGAGGTTTAACAACTGTAAATGTTGAGTGATTCATATTGGGGTAAAAATCCTAACTGTGACTAACCAGAAGAGAGAGCTCGAGGTCATAGATAGCTGAATGAAAGCATGAACTCTGAGTGTGTTGCGGGGGGAGGGTAGTTAAAGGGCCAATTCTGTGCTAGAAATTATTGGAGAAGGGGTAAAAAACCAAATTGCTAGCATTTTCCCGAATAGGTTTCTTTTGGGCGGCAAAGATCTAACACTTACTGAAAACTTCAGATTCTGTATAAATGCAAATACCTTGTAGTATTTATTTTTCACAAAATGCTATTTGATTTCCAGAACAAATTATTGCCTCTGTTCAAAAAGGCAATTGAATTCATGGCTAGCTTGAAAGGATTCTTTTAGTGCAGCCATGATTAGTGGATTTACTTTTACACCTTAGGGGAATGTTTCTGTTCCCTTTTCTGTTCTACCTATTTCTGTTTCTCAGTAAGGCTCACTAGTTTTCATAATCATGTTTTTCAGCAGGTAAGCATAGGCCATCATACATAAAGGATATAGCATCTGCCCTTCAGAGGAAGTTAACATCATACAGCGAGATTATCGAGGAAGATGGTAGCAGCATGGAAAGGTAAACCTTTGGTGGAATGTTTACGTTCTGCAATGTAGAAAAGATATATACTAGTGCTGGTGTGTAATGCATTCTTTTATTTGCAAAAATATTGATATACCACTATTCATTAAAAATATCAGAACACCTGCAATAATAGTACATAAAACCATATGAAGCAGTCTGGTCTTAAGCAGTTTAGATTTTATCTTCTCATTGGCCTTATGTATCATGATAGAATTGCAAAGTTAGAAGGGACCACGAGGGTCATCTAGTCCAGCCCTCTGCATTGCACGAATCGTTTTGCACAATGTGGGGCTTGAACAGATAACCCTAAGATTCACAATCTCGTGCTCTCCCGACTGAGCTATCTTGTTGAGTAATAAGTTATTTGAGGCCCACACGGAGCATGGAAAGAAAGAAAGAAATGCATTTCAGTTTTTTCTTGCAATTTTAAAGGGGTTTTTTTTGTTTAGTTTTTGAACAACACATGCAGCTATATGTTAGCAGCAAAGCTTCTGCTTTTCTCCATACTTCATGTATATTGAACTTATTAGGTCATGCAAGATGAGATCAAATACAATAGAAGGCATCAGTGGTTTTTGATTCAGTGATCAGTATGTTATTTAATTCTTTAAAAGATTCCAGCTAATGCCATTTGCAAATGGATACTCTTAGCCACGTCTCTCCGTGTTAATAAACAAACAATGTTCTTAATACTTGGAGCTAGCTAATAAAGACTTTGAGTACTTTACCCCCAGGATCTTTCTCATTGTGAGAATGCATCAAATTTCTAAAATCTTAGGAATCCATCAAAGGTAACATGGCTTGTTTCCGTTAGCATCTTGTGCAGGTTTCTTTCTTAATACAGTGTACACAACAGTGTGGAATGGGGATATGAGACGGAGTACTTTTGTTTGAAGCTCAATGCTCTCCCAATAAGCTCTTCGGTACAAGAAACCTTATACGTAGCTGCATAGGAAGATCACCAGGATGGGGCCTTGACTAGGAGATATAAATCTAATCAGTACAAAACCCAGTTCATAGTGCTGTGAAGCAATTAATTTTAATCTGACATCCATACTTTTGCATAAGAGTATCAGAAATGTCATAGTAAGCAGATGTTTTAGTTAATGGAAAACTCTTCATTTGCCAGTCATTTGTGTAACTTACACAGCTGCTCCCTGCTCTTGTTTTCAGAACCCTCTATGAAACGGCTCTGCGTGTTTTGGATGAAATATTAAGTCCTTGACCATGTAACTATTTATATAAACTAAGGAAACAGTGAAGAAGATGAATACACCCCTTCCAGAGAACCAAATGACTTAACTGTGCAGTGTTTTGCCTTGAGTGGGAAAACCACGCCGCTTTGCTTTGTGCTTCCTTGTCATGAGACTGCTTCCATAGGTAATCTTTAAAGACAAAATCAAATTGTACATTCATTTTTGTAAGAATTGTGAAGAAACACTTTTAAATGCTAAAGTATTTTTTGTACATTGCTTTAAATATGGCTTAGATCCTTGAGTTATATTTTGTATATATTTAAAAAAAGCTCTTTTGAATGGCATCCAGATCTTTACATTAAATCACTATGCAAACATCGGTTGAGTCACATGAGGCATGCTTGATCAGCACCAAAATCTTTCACCCAATGTAACTGTTAAGTAAGAAATGTCTTAACTTAATTTTTAATATGGTATTTCACATACCGTTATTGAATACAGAGTAATATTTTCTGAAAGCTAATGCAATCACCAGTATAGATAGGTACTCCTACTGACTTATTCTGATAGCATATTTATGACATTCTGAATCTTTAAAAAGGTTTCTGTAATAGAGTCTCCCCCAGCTACTGCATGCACATTCACAGGTTTACATCTTCACATGCCAGTGCAAATATTCCATTTGTCTTAGTTGGCAAATGGTACCTCTTTGTCTACAGTAGGAGTGGGGAACTTGTGGCTTTCCAGATGATGTTGAACTATTACTCTCATCCGCCCAACCCAGCATGGCCAATGGTCAAAAAGTTGTCATCCAACAACATTTGGAGAGCCATAGTTTTCCCATCCCTGGTCTGTGGCCTTGTAGGCAGAAGCAGATGCCAATCTAGCAAAAGGACACCCACAAAGAAACATCTCCCTTGTAGTCATTTTCTTTCTCTTTTGCTCCACATTCCAGCAGGCTTCTTATGAGACCAGAGCTAGTCTACCGGGAACCAATTTTGTCTGCAATGGAATTAATGTTGCTATAGTTTTAAGATTGGGGAAAAGCAGAAGTCCACCCCCCCCCAAAGCAGGTTGCTTACCTGTAACTGGTGGCCTTCCATTGGCCATCTGGGCCTGTGCAGAGTACATTTTGGGAATTTTGGGGGTGGGATGTGGAGTGAATGCCTTCCTACTTCGGCCTGTGTTTACTGCTGCAGGAAAGCATAATTGGGAATCGTCTTTAGGGACTGTCTTCTTAGCAAGTTCCGTCATCATTTCTCATGCATTCTGGGAGCTCTTTAAGTTCTAGCAAATACAGCATGCATTTTATTTCTTTGGTTTCCTTTCCATCCCTGCACCTACATCACAGTTGCTGTTTTTCAAAAAGTGCTGTCACTTTTTGAAATTACCTCTCTGTTTTCTGGAGAGAAAGCAGAAAGTTGATTCATGCACTCACTGACAGCCACAAAAGAGCCATAAAAAGAACATGCAAAAAAACCATACCTAACATTAAAAGGTGTAACAAGTTCCTCCAGCTTTTCCTTAGAACTTTGTTTCTTGCCATTCTCTGAATTCTTTTCTTATCCTGCCATATCTCATTGATAAAAGGTGCTACCCCAAATGAACTGGATTGTTCCTAATGATATCCCATTGGAATGGTTCTACTTGTTTTTCCAACTCCTCAATGCAACAGTTACTTTAATACAAACCCAAGCTGGGCATTTAGCATCCCGAAGCACATCAGACCCAAACTGAACTTCCCAGCTTAGCAAAACCACTAAAACCAATTAGCCTAGTCTTCAAATTATAATCATTTTCAGTTTATTCTCTTGAGTCTTGTCAAAGGCTGGGGGACTAAGGGGAGTTTTGGGTACTTCCTGTTCTGCGTCACTTCCTATCTTTCCAAATAGCTTCTATTCCACATTTCCTATATAGAACATATGAACTATTTACATACAAAGCACCCATAGACTTGACTCAAGATTGTTCCTTTATTATACCCAGTATTGTCTGTTTCTTGCATTTTTTGCGGAAAATTATTAATTTTTCATTGTTGTCCTAGGAGTCTTGCTGGGATTTGTCTCCTTCAGCCTTTTGCTGATGCAAACAAAATTTCAGAATTCTGCTACCAACAGAACTGTATCACTAATCTAAAACAAAATAGCTTGAAATTCTTGTCTTGCATGCAACATGACTCTCCTTCTTGGTTTTGTTCCTTTGAATGACTAATGGAAGCCATTCTGCTTTAAAATGAGTCTATTGTTCATACTGTCAAGAAGGAGCGTTATCTGCAGATTTGTAGGACTAATCACTGTTTCCATGTTCTGAATAGAACACTGGAAAATTTCTCCAGCACTCTTTACTTGAGCTGATGCTAGCAATGATAGGAGGCTTGTTCTAAACATTTGGTTTTTCTGTGGATTTTTTTTTTTTAACTACAAATGCAAGTATGAATGTTTCCTAAGTGATAAAGTACAAATGGAAGAAAATAAGATGAAACACAACTGAACATAGTGCAGAACACATTTTAGAGTTTATTGGGTGGTGGCTATGGCAGAAAATTGATATTACTTCTCTGCCTCCATTGTGCCCATTCAGTGTCATTCAGTTGATCTACTGTGGCCAGTTTGGGATCTTCTCCAAGATCAGTTTACAGGAGACCTTTGTTGTGAAGCATTTTGTTGTGCTACTCTGCCTCGCTGCTGTTTTAAAATATTCCATAGCTTGGTTCTTTGACTCCAGAAATCTCCATACTGCCTGGAAAGCTAATGCTGAGGTGTGCATGGCAGGAAGGTTATGGTTGGTCTTGGCTGCTATCTCTGTAAATCAATCCACAAAGGGGTACTCTTCCTAACAATGCTTGATAGTATGGGAACTCAGGAATATTCAAATGCCTTTCTCTTCTTGCTTGACCAGTGTTCATTTGCATCTGACCCAACTTTTCCTCTACTCATGTAAGAGCGATCCCCAGTTTGCTTCCTCACCCTAAGCTCTGGCGTATACCAGGGATCCAAGCGGGCTCCACGAAGCAGGAGACGGCGCTCAAGGGTGATTGCGTCAACAACCTGAGCCATTCGGATGTTCCAGTTGTTGAGCAGAGCTTTGACAGGAGTGCCAGTCATATCAGCCAGAAAAACCCCCCAGAGCCGCCTGGAAATCCACTGGATCCATCAGCCCCTGAGGACAGACCATCCTAATAGGTCTCTTGCCTCTGCAGAGGGGAAAAGGTGCTGAAATGCCTAAAAGCATTACCATCGCTGGCAGGAATACAGTGGTACCTTGGGTTAAGTACTTAATTCGTTCCGGAGGTCGGTTCTTAACCTGAAACTGTTCTTAACCTGAAGCACCACTTTAGCTAATGGGGCCTTCTGCCTCTGCGCCGCCAGAGCACGATTTCTGTTCTCATCCTGAAGCAAAGTTCTTAACCCGAGGTACTATTTCTGGGTTAGCGGAGTCTGTAACCTGAAGCGTATGTAACCCAAGGTACCACTGTACTAGCATAACTTAAAAGCCAGGGCCCTCTGCTCACTCTCACTTCTAGTGGTGGGAAATTTAAATCCTAATGGTATAAGTTATACTATAGTCCAGGGAGATACAAATCATTCTTTTATTGATTCAGAGCCACTTCAGCGGAGGCCTAAACAGTACAACAGTCACATAAATTTAGTCAACTTCACTGGAATCTGCCTGCCTCTCCCCACAAGTTAACGGAAGAAAAAGCTTAAGATAGGTTAAATAACAGAAGCTTAACACAAACTCTAATTAACTTTCTTCTCCCAGAAAAGAATAAAACCATCTCCTGTATCCTGACCAGTAATATGGCAATAGCTGGATTTATTTATGTATGATTTTTATATCAAGGCCCACTAATTTGTACCACGGTTGAAGAAAAGCAGAAGAATGAGGGTGTCCCAAACTGATTGTCCACTGTTGGTTGTGGTTCTTGTCTCTGGTGTTATGACCGCAGCATTCTGAGGGCCTTAAAAGCCCCATGGCCAGCTTTATCGCCACATCCAAGTTCACTTCTTCATCTGGATCAAGCTGGTCTAAAGCTGAGCCACACTGGCTGTAACAGGAGTGGCAGAGAAGGGAAATCAGAATCAAGGGTCCTATCCACAAAACATCCTGTCTCTGGTAGGTGGGCATCATAACTTAAAAGGTAGTGTCTGGCTTTATTTCTTTTTATTGTTTTCCCTGCTTGGTGTTTTTTTTTATGTTTACCACTTAGAGATGCTAAGGACAAATCAATATCTAAATGCCTTAGATCCAATGAAATAATGTAAGTGAGCTGTTTGCTCATCATCTAGGGCACATGAGACTGTCAGAATAATCAGAGTTAAGATATAGCACATTCTTGTGATTTGTGGTTCTAGATGGTCCCTGTTTTGGTGCTAGCTGTTTATTGCTTATTGGCAACACCTAAAAACTATGCTTGGTGTTGTATTTATCAGTGCTCCTCCCCTTTTCTACTATTGGCAGGTAGGTTGGTACTCTGAAAAGATTACTTTGGGAAATTAATTTCGGCTTTTATATCTTTAATTTCTTCAGAGCTTGCTTTCAGTTCCCTTATCTCATTCAGCAGAGGGTTATACTTTTCCATGAACTTGAGCAGCGAGCCGCTGCTGCAGTTTTCCCCCTGTCACAACACACATTCTATTTTCCTATTTCTGCTGTGTCTCTATTTCATCACTGACAACTGTGTTTCCTTTTTTCAAACACAATATTGGCTGTCCTTTTATATAAGGCTGTAACATAAGCCAAATATTAACTCTGTAGTCCTTTAAGGATGGAATGGAGCAGAACGTTTTGTCTGGTGGGATCATACATTAGGCTTGAGGTAAACAGGACTTTTTTCCTTGGGTCCAGCTCTCTAATTAAGAAATCTTGGAGACTCTCTTGAGGTTCTTGTACTACTTTTGACAGTTGTTAAGTAGAGCTCAGTTGCATCCTTTTCCTGATGATAGGATCGTAAAATGTGTCTTGGTTTTATTACGTTAAAATCCTTTTTTATCTCCAGATAATCCCTCAAGTCGAGTTAAGGATAAATTGCCTAGATTGCAAACTTTATGATGTTTGTCTCACTGTTCTCCTTTTTTAAAACTCATACTGATGAGTCAAGCTTCTGAAACTCAGCCTGTGTGTCTGGCTAGTTATCTTAACTTCTCTCCTTTGGATTAATTTCACTCCCATAGTTTTCTGTCCACCATTTTCCTACCTCTTTCATCCTTTCCTCTTTCTTCATATAGTGCTTCTGTGTTGGCTACAGCACTGATGTCTGCAATCTTTTCTTTCACTTGCTGTGTAATGTAGTCAGAACCTCAATCTCTTAACTCTCTTTGAAGTCGCTACCAAAAGGGCCCCATCTTTCATACCCACCAGTCTATTAGATTGCTGCAGGTCCGCAAACAGGGGTTCTGAGGCTGACCTTAAGGCCTGCACAGATTCATATGGGTAGAGGTGGTACTTCAAATAGCTTGGTCCCAGAAAGTTTAGAACTTTAAAGGGCATTATCAGCACAAATAGGCAACAACTACAGCTGTTCCAGCAATAATGCTATATGCTCCAACCACTGGGCCTCCACCAGTATCTGAATAGCTGCATTTTGTACCAGCTGAAGTTTCCATACTGTCTTTAAAAGCTGCCCTTCATAGAACACATAGCAATAACTTAGTTTGGAAACAACCAGGGCCTGTGTAACTGAGGCACAGACAGCTATCTCTCTCTGTAAACCAGAGATGAAGAACGGGGAAGCACTCTAAATGTTGTCTGACTACAGCTCTTATCATCCCTGTCCCTTGACCATGCTGGCTGGGGCTGATGGGAATACTAAGCCAACAGGTATCTAGAAGGCCACAGGTTCTCCACCCATACCCTAAGCTTTCTAGATCATAAAGGCAAGTCATGCTAGAACTGATCTCCATGCTTCTGAAGTCTGATTTCTCTAGAGAGGAGGCCATCTAACAAAAGAAATTTCCGTGCATGTTAATTCCTGAAGGCTTTTTGTTAATATTGGCTCATCTCAAAATGTGCTGATGTAAACACTAAACAGATGCTTAGGTCTTCAGTTAACTCTCACTAAGCATTAGCATTTTCACTTAACCACACGCCTTATTTCCAGCTATTCTCCCAGGTAATCGCTAACTGCAGTTCAGTCTGAGACTTAAAATGCAACTCCCTTTCAAAGCTCCTTTCCAACTGCTCTTCTTTGGCAACATGTAAAAGCCATTATCATTTAGCTATGGCCTAGGGGATAAAATAGCACCTCACAAGCTACTCGTCATCACTAAAAATCAATATTGTTTATATCTCACTGAGGCTCAATCTAGAAGAATCTCAATCTCCCATTTTCTCCCCCTTGGTAAACTGCAACTATTTGGCAAAATTACACAGGAATATGCTTGAATGCTTAAGGTGGGGGCGGGTGAGTGGGGGGAATAATAAATTTACCTCTGCTGTGAGTTGAGCAGGATATTAACATCTGCTGGCTTCCTCTCCAAGTATTGTAGAAAATCTTCTGAACCCACTGCTGCTGTTATGAAAACATTTCTGCAATCTTTTCCTTTCAGGAAGATGAATGCATTCATCTTAATTTGTGGCACCACTCCTAGAGTTAGAGTTAAAATGTATTTTATGTTCCTCTGTGTTTCATTATGGTGAGAAGTCCCAAGAAGCCTATCCACACTTTGAACTACTGGGCAAGATGCAGAATTTCTAGATAGAGGCGCGTGGACTGTGTTGGAACAGCAACACAGGTGAAGTGCCTCTACAGAGGAGGAAGATCACCCATTGAAGGAGAGAAACCCTTGGAAGAACATGATGCACAGAAGCAAGGCTATCGAAAGCCTTGCTGTGTCACTGGAGCTGCAAAATGGATCCCAGGCCCTCACCTTGGACACCATTTCTGGGCTAGAGGAGCTAGGACAGCAGTTATCAACCTCAAGACACACCGAGATGGCTGTGGAAGATACAGTGCACAGAATGATTCCTGCCACCCCCCACAGGAGGAAGAGATGGGAGGGGATGGACGAATAGTTTTCCATTTTTGACCTAAGCCTTTCAGATCCAAAGCTACTGACAGTGGATGAGTATTCTGATAACCTGTATGCTACCTACCAAGGAAATGATTTCAGAAAAAGGAGAATTGCAGTTTGAAAAAAAGCAATTTGAGATGAAGGAGTAGGAAGTTATCAAGCCATAAGACTCCTGCTTTTGTAACCTATCTTAATAATATCTTGATTAGCTCATTATGTTGGCCTGAATGCAGGGATTGGAAGAAATATGTCCAGGTTAGAGGCCCAGAAATATGTCCAGGTTAGAGGACCCTGCCAGTGATCTAATTTCTGATTCTGGACCAGAGGAGCAAGAACAGCAGTTGCAGACCTCAGAACACTCTGAGGTGGTTTGTAAGGTATTGTGTACAAAACAATTACTGCCAGAAGGAAGAGACGTCTGGTGGTGGTAGGTGACTCCCTACCGAGGGGGACAGAAGCAGCGGTGGGCAGGGGTAACAGGGGGTCCCAGGAGGTGTGCTGTCTTCCAGGTGCAAAGATTCATGATGTGACAGAGAAGTTGCCATGTCTTATAAAGCCCACTGACCAAAAACCCTTCCTTTTGATTCATGTGGGTATAAACGATACTGCCAGACACAATCTTTAACATATAGCAAAGGACTCTGGGCAGGATGCTGAAGGGCCTTGGGGCATCATTCCTTCCTGTTGAAGGTTGTGGCCCAGGAAGAGAGAGAAATACTGAAAGTAAACCACTGGGTGTCATCAGGAAGTTTTTGGCTTTGAACATGAACTCTGCTTCCTTCAGGAAGGTCTTCTGGCAAGAGATGGGGTCCCTTCCAACTACAATTCTATTATTCTATTCTAAGTTTAGGTAAAGGGTAAAGGGACCCCTGACCATAGGACGACTCTGGGGTTGCAGCGCTCAACTCGCTTTACTGGCCGAGGGAGCTGGCGTACAGCTTCCAGGTCATGTGGCCAGCATGACTAAGCCGCTTCTAGCGAACCAGAGCTGCGCACGGAAACACCATTTACCTTCCCGTTGGAGCAGGAACTTGCACTTTGACGTGCTTTCGAACTGCTAGGTTGGCAGGAGCTGGGACCGAGCAATGGTTTAACCCACAGCGCCACCGGCGTCCCTAACATATTAGTGCACATCTGTGCACTCAATATTCTTTTCTCTTTTTTTGAGTGGTAGCAATATACCATATTATATTAATTGCTAATTATGCAAATAAATTTGTAATATACAGTTATTGACTCACACTTGCATGCATGAAAGGGTTAACAAGCTCAGGTTGCCAGTGGGGGTGGAGCTTAGCAGGCTCCCTGTAGCATTTTGTTTCCTTCCTCCCAGTGTCTTCCTCTTCATGCTTCCTGGAAGAAGGATCCACGCAGAACTAATTCTACTTTTGTCTCCATCCTCCTTACTGATGTTCTACAAAGGCTGCTGACAGGTGGCCACCACTCCTTGAACTGGTTGTAAATAAGAAGGCAAGCTGATGGGGACAGACTGAGATTTGTGGGGCCGTCCCCCATTTTCCCTAACAGCAGCCTCCACTGCCTATAGGTGACTGAAAGCATGTCCCATATAGACCAGCCAACCAAAGAACACAGTGGTCTTGCCAGGTGAAGTTGGTGCAAAGTGTTCCTGAGGTCACATGTGTAGCAATTAATCCTGGAACATCCTGAGGCCATTAGCGTGAATTATGAGGGAAGACTAAATCAGCAAAGGTGGATATGAATTCCATCCACAATAGTTATCTTCATGCTGGCAAGCACATCTGCATTAGCAAGCAAGACGGGTGGAAACAATCCCAAATAAGAGTTCAGTCAGCCCCGTACACTTTGACTCCATTCTTAAAGATGGTTATCATCAGTGCTGTTCCAAAATCTGTTATCCAGTTTGTCTTATGAAAGAGGCTTCCATTTTTCTGTCTTTCTTAGGGCACTTGGGGATTATTGTTGCTGTTGTTGTTGCTGTTGTCAATATGGGGTTTTGATCTTACCATTGTGAGGAGGCCAAGGGTGGTCTGTGTGTGCCCCCCTCCCGGTAGATATTTCTCCAGCACCCTGCAGCCTCCCTGGGTGCCTGCACTTCCTAAAATACCTAATGAGAGAAGTGACCCCATGATATCTTCCCCAAGGCTTCAATTGATATTTTGGCACTCGGGAAGTTCCAAAGCCTAATTATAGGACAATGTCATGTTACATATAACTGCAACTGCAAGATGAGAAGTAATGAAAAAATCAGCTCTGGTGTTCAGGTCCTGCTTGCAGTTGGCCACTGTAGGAACAGAACACTGGATTATGTTCAGATCATAACAAGAAGTTGACCAGATAAAGGTATTGCAAAATAAAGGGATGTATATTGCTCATCTTCCCCCATCCCACAAATTAGCCAAAGTTAGCACATGAGCATAGTTGGTGGGTGAAACAAGTACTGTTGCTTTCTGCAAGAGATCAGCTGGGTTTACTTTGCCAACAAGTACACTGCGAAATCTGTGGTCAAATAGCCCCACCCAGGTTCTATATAGACATTCTAATATCTTTGTATACATACCCTGTGAACCCTGGATCTTCTCTACACCCTGTAAACATGCAAATGCAAATTAAGGAGTGGCGCTTGCTTCCTTTTCGAAGGAAGGAAATTGAAGCAGAACATAAGTGTACCGATGTGATCTTACTAGGAGTTTCTACTAGAAAATAGACACCTGCTCCACCTATTATTATATGAATAAATTTGTATACTGCCCTTCATCTGTAGACTTCAGGGCGGTTCGCAATCTAAAAATACAAGACGAAGAAACATAATAAAAGCAAGAACAAAAACCAATACCGCCCCCCCAGCCCCTCCCAAAACACATTTAAAAGGGCATTGGATGTCAAGCAGCCAAAGGCCTGGTTAAAAAGGAACACTTTCACACGGCGCCTTAAAGATGTATAATGAAGGTGCCAGCTGAACCGCCCTGGGGAAGGCCTTCCACAAATGGGGAGCTATTGCAGAAAGGGCTCATTCTTGTGTTGCCATCCTCTGGACCTCTTGAAGAGGTACACAGAGAAGGGCCTCAGATGATGATCTTGGGGTCCCCGTAGGTTCATGTGAAGAGAGGAAGTTCTTGAGGTATTGCAATCTTGAGCCATTTAAGGCTTTGTAGGTCAAAACCAGCACTTTGAATTGGGCCTGGAAATGAATTGGCAGCCAGTGCAAGCAATGCATACGTAAACATAATAAAAGGTATCTATTTTAAGGTTTCTGTAGCTGTTGTTTTTGCCACAGTCCTGTGTTACAATCACTTGCTATTCAATAACACTTTGATTTACTGCGATGATTCCCTCCCACCACCACCTTTGAATGAACTATATATCTGTGTGGTTTCTTTTGTTTTGCATTGCCTCTCTTTAAATAAAAATCCTTCCACGTTCTCTAATTGATTGTATTCAGCACATAAGTGGTCCAAACCAATGCCAATATTGATTTTAGTCTCTTTTTTTGCTGTCAGTTTCAGAAAAAACAACGACTGCTCAGTGGTAAGCTTTGATATCAAAGTTTTGTTCATCTATTCTACTAGTTCACACTCCATTAAAAAAATACTTGTAAATCATAACTGACACATGTAAGCTTTAATTTTCTCCCCACGGTAGAAGCTTTTGAAGCTGATGCAGAAGATTTCCTGTTGTTCTAAATGTATTCCCTTACTAACCTCGTCTTTAAATAGCTTGCATAAACCAAGGCTGCCATCATGCAGTAGAAAACCATATGCTACATGTGCGTTGGCTCAGTCACGTTCCTGGTACAGGCATGGAGACAGTGCACATGACCGAACTGATGTATATGCTAACGTAAACACAAAAAGAGCCCTGCTACTAGGTAAGACCAAAGGCCTTTCTGGTCCAGCATTCTGTTCCCACACTGACCAACCAAATGCCTACAGAAAGCCCTGATAGGATATGAGTACAATAGCCACTTTCCTCTGTTGTTGCCCAGAAGTTGGTACTCAGAGCCATGCCATTTCTGATCCTGAAAGCAGAATGTAGCCATCATCACTAGTAGCCATTAATAGTCACTTCCCTCCACATCTTGTTGCAGCAAATCCCATTATTTAACCATGTGTCTGAAGTAGTACTTTTGTCTGTCTTGAATCTCCCACGCTTTAGCTTCATTTGAAACGGAGAAAAAAGCCTCTATCCACTTTCTCCTAAAGTAAACGGGTTTCATGGCATCTGTCATGTGGAGAACTCACTTGGATAGGCTTTATAAATACATGTTGCTCCCCTATGCTAGAGTCATTGAACTACTGTTCAGTACTGACTGTTCTGAATGGCAGCAGCTCTCGCTAAGGTATCAGGTGATATTTTTCAGCTCTAGGGATTATGCTAAGGTTCAAACCTGGAGCCTTCAGAATGGGCCCATCTGTAACACTATGATGGGTGCGTTGTTTTCATAAACAAAAAAAGGTGAGGAGTGGGTAGTTTGGGGGTTGTGACACCTTCCTCTTGCTAAGTTTCCCATTGTTAGAGTGAAAATGGGAGTTCGGGGTACCAGCTGACTATATAAAAGATTTCCCATCTTTGAGGGGATAGGATAGAGGATTTAAAATTATTCCTAATGTATTTTGTATCATCAGTGTTGATAAAAATGTTGCATTTTTATTTACATTGCCTTAACAGTGTAGTTCAGTAACTTGCAAACAACAGAAACTACATTTAATTTCTAATATATTTTGATAAATGGTAACTAATGATAATGATAAATACCTTGTCTTGTCACTTTCTGCCATATGTTATTGTCTTAGTCAGAGGTATGTTTCTCATTCCATGTAAATTCAATACAGTCATTTTCCCAGGGTTTCTTTTTTAAAAAACTACATACTCTCTTTCCAGCCATATGGCTTGCACAGCCCATGAGAATTCAACAATTTAACTTTCAGCAGCTCCATTTTTCATCGTGTCCTTTCCGTATTGCCTATCTTTGCATTTTTGTTTGTTTCTACTTCAGTTTAGCCATCTGAAGTTACATATCTTGCAGTAGCGAACTTTCTTCAAACCACAATTCTTTTAAAGCAAACTCATAGCTTAGAATAAGTGTTTTACATAAACCTTACCATGCTTTGCAATAAAAATATTCAAAACTGGTGGTGTCCACTACAGGCTGCTTAAACAGTGAATGGAGTTTTGTTTAGTGATCCTCTGTGTTGTCCTGCTCCAACCAAGTTCTACTCAGAGTAGGGCCATCAAAACGAATGGACCTTAGAGACATCCAATTCCAATAGGTTTACTCTGAGTGTGACTAATGTTCACTACAATCTTACAGTCAGGCATTTTATGCATGGCTAAAACCAAAAAGTGGGGAGTAGCCTCACTCCCTGCTGCCCATGTACACAGTGTGTATGTGCAAGGAAGGAGTGTTCACACATATATCAGTGTATGTGAAGGCTCCCTCCCTGCAGACATCCATACTATATACATGGGATGCTATGGGGCACGACTAGTCAACATATGAGTGCACCCCACCCACCCCTGCCCTAGTCTTACCCCTGCAACTAATGCTGGAATAGGACTTCGTGTTAAAGAATTAAAGAACAAGTACTCTAACCCAGAAAGGGATGAGCCAATATTGAATACTGGGGAGAATGGACGCCCTACAACAAGACAAGCAGAAGTGCATAATAATTTGTCCAAAGACAAGGATTGATCCTGGGAATGGAGGTTGGCCATAAATGGACTGGTTAGGTTAAAATCAACAATGTGTGGTTTTCACTGCAATAATGTGGAGTTAACATAGGCAACCCAGAGGGCAAAGTGCAAATATTTTCCTTTAATTAAAGTCCAGGAGGGGACTGGGCAAAATGATAACTATAGATGAATAACCACCCAGTGGTTAATCAGAGGGAACAGTCACACTTTAACATTTTGATGTTATCAACAACAGGAGTGACATTACCTGTGGCTCCCCAGTTTTTTCAGACAGGGTAATTAACTTGAGATGCTAATTGGAGACTGAGCCTAAGATCTTTGGCATGCAACCTCTACATGCACTGCAGATGTTCTATTACTAAGTCACGGCCATCAAACGCATTTCACTGTGTTACGTAAGAAGTAACCACAACAGATCTTTCTCTACCTTAGCACCAGGAGGTGGTCTTCCAAGTCAGCAGAGCTGACCCTACTCAACAGAGCAGAGGGAGGCAGCAAATGCGGTGTGTGAATTGCACTCTATCGCCGTCCCCTATACTCTCAGGTGCTGTTGGTGAAGTTGCATTCAGTTCTGCGCATGGAAGCTGTGCATCTCTGTGCCTGTGGAGATGCCACTTGACCCTTTGCCTCGGGCACCAAAATGCCTTGGGCCAGCCCTGCAAGCCAAAAAGGTGTGTGGCTTTTAAGAGCAGAAGAAACGCCTTTCTGCAAGAGAGCACAGCTACATGAGGGATGCCCAGCTGCACAGGCAGGCAGCCCTCCTCAGAGATGAATTTGGGCAGGTGCAACTTGTCATGCTCCACTTCCTGCTTGCATCCTCCTTTCCCCACACAAAGCTATTATTAAAGGCACACGAGCCCTCTCCTCCTTGGCAGCAAGGCCGACCCCCGTCCATTGAGCCAGCCTGCCACTGAGAAAACCCCCAGGCGAACTACTACTAGCCTCCTGGCCCTGCCTGCCAATCTCACCCCAAGCATTTAAAAAAGGAGGAGAGCTCCACTTTGCAAACACACCCACCCCAACACCTGGTGGCCAGAGAGCGCCTTTGGAGCAGGAAACAGCTGGGCTTCCATTTTGGACCCTGACCTCTCCTCCTCTCCTCTTTAGTCGGATTTGGTCGGCCAGTCCCTCTACCTGTCCCTACAAGTTAAGTCTTGGAGAGTGGGAGGGAGGAAAGAGATGGAAGGGGTATTGAGGAGGAAGAGGAAGAAGAAGGTCCAGCGGGCGCGCTTGGCCCGCCTCGGCTGAGGGAAGGCTGTGGAGCTTGCAGCGCGAGCCAGTAGCAGCAGCAGCAGCGCGTCGAAAGAGCTGCGCGAAGAGAGCAGCAGCAGCAGCAGCGGCAGGCAGTTCATTGCGAGGAGGAGGAGGAGGCGCCTGGCGCTGCCGGGCGAGGAGGAAGCGAGGCAGGGAGGGGCCGCCTGGCTGGCTGAGGCTGGCGAGCCGAGGGGACGGCGCTGGTCGCTGTCCTGGGTGTTGAAGGGAGCCCGCCGGGGAGCGCCTGCAGCCTGGCCCCGGAGCCGAGGTGGCATGGACTGAGCCGCTGCGAGGGGACAGGAGGACGAGGCGGGCCGGGCAAGCAGGCAGCAGGCAGGCGCTTGCCATGGGCCACGCATGATGGGGTCGCCCGGCACCTCCAGCCTCGCGTTCCGCCTGCTGCAGCAGCTGCTCCTGGTCCTCGTCGTCGCCCGGCACCCAGGCGGAGCCGCCGCCGCCGCCAGCGCCGCCGGAGCAGAGGCCAAATTCGGTGAGTGGAGAGCTGGGCTGCGAGGGAAGGAGAGGCGCGCGGCGGAGGACGCGCAGGGCAGGAGGCGCCGCCGCAGGAGGGAGGAGGGGGCGGGGAAGGGGAGAGGCCGCCCGCCGGGCCAGGGCAGGTGAGGCAGGGCCGCCCGCGGGCGGGAAAAGTGGCGACGCCGACGCCACCCCTCGAGCCTCTGAGGCGCAACTTGTGAGGAGGGCGAAAGGGCGCGGGGATCCTTCCCTGGCTAGCGCAGGAAACCCTGCCCTCCAGGGGCCTGCCTGTGTCCCCGCGGCCGAAATCCTTCTCCCGAGGAGACCTTCTGTTTCCCTCCACACCCCCCTCAGTCGACACGTATTAATTCCTCCCCTCACATATTCTTACTGAGGTGCGCAACACCTGCTATCCGTGCGTGCGTGTGTATTCAATTAATTTCACAGCTTTTGTATACCGCTTGGTCAGGGACAAAAATCGGTTTCTACGCGTGTGTGTAGATACACCCACACTTACATGCGTGTATTTCAAGTCCCCTGTTAGCAGAGGTTTGGGTCAGCCCTTGCACCTGTGTGTTTTTACCTGCCCCCCCTCCTCCCTCAGGTGTTCCCATTGCCACCCAGTTGAGCCTCACTGACTCGCCCCTTGCAGGGCTTGAGGGGAGGCCGCTACTACTTTGCAGACCCCCATTCCTCCATGTCACCCCCCCCCAATATTCTGTCCCCATGGACTGCTCTGCTCAGAACCAAGAGATCTCTTTCACAAATCATCCTCTTACAAGTTATACTTTGTGAAGTCTGTGGCACTAGCAAAGCAACTGCATTTCCACTTGTGGCCTCCACATGCTCCATAGGCACCTTATTAGAGGGCCATCTCCAAGGGCTGCCCCAGTTACTTCAAGAATGTTAATTTCTTCAGACCCACAGGCTGCTATGAACATCCTACAACCTACCCTGCTCTCTTAATGTTCCTTGCTAGGCCCACCCAAAGTTAGATAACTAGCTCATTGGCCTCCTCAGTGCACACCACTGATATTTCCCCCATTTGAAACATCTCACCTACTTCCCAGTGAAGCCTGGTGGTGGTGTTTTTCCAAAATTCTACATTGTTGTGAACTGCCCTGAGGTTTCTGGGTGAAAGGCGGTATACAAATTTTATAAACAGCAGCAGCAATAATAATGCTAAATTCAACTCACTGAATCAAGAAGTTCCATTAGTCACATGTACTAGAGTTGATCACCCAACTGTTGTTGACCATTTCATAAACCTTCATAGACAATATCTTACTGGAAAGTCACACATTCCCTTGGTGAGGTTCTTGCCCTTCAACTTTTTTACCAACCTAGCTTATTTCTCTTCTTCAATTCCACCCCCCCCCCCAGCAATATTCAGATGGACCATTTCCCTTTCTCACCTAATTAATTCAGGTAAAGTCGTTTATAGGTCAGACTCCCTAGGCAAATTGATCCTCACTATATACCTATCAAACTATCATCTCGTTGAACATGCTGGCCAAAAATGGAGTTCTTTTTATTGATATTACCTTTTTGTAGTTGTAAGCAATCCTTCTATATCAGATACACTGAATATATATTCCTTACCAATAAACACTCCAAATGAAGGAAATTTTCAATATAATTTTGTAGTCATTCTTCAAAACCTTTTCCCCCTTTTAAGAGATATCCTCCCAACTTAACTAATGTTACTGTTAATCCTCTAAAACTTGCACCATATCACTCTTTACCTGTTTAACGCTTCCTGATATCTGAGCTCCGCAAATTAAAAGCATTCCCGTTATAATTGTAGTGTACAATGGTATTCTGAAACTAAAATGAATTCTAACTCTATAAGCCCATTTATTTTGCCAATAACAATATAGTGCAGATTTCAGTTGCAAACTCTCCCAAACAATGACATGCTGATAGGACTATTGTTACAAACTTCCCGTGATGAAAACAAAAACTTGTCTTTTGGCACCTTAAAGTCCTACAGATTTATAAGCTTTCAATCTTCATCACAATCCGTCTTGTAGCCTTTAAGGTACCATAATAATAGCTTTTGCCATAAAAGCTAGCTTTTCTATCCCTCTAGAATTTGTTCCCTTATTAGCTGATTCCCCATGAACACATTTCATCATTGAAATTCCATATTCTCACTGGAGTCACACAGATACCTAGAGATACATTAAAGAAAGCTAGACTTTGAAAATGACATATTAAGTCACATACTGAGAATCTGACTCAGTGCCATTAATCTGTTCACCCCAAGCTTACTTTATATTGGGGGGGGGATCATTTTTACTGAGAAGCCACCTGAGACCCTGCAGTGTTACAATGACCTATATAGGCCATTCCAGCCTCATCTTTGCTATTATTTTTGTGAGAGAACAGGTTGCCTCAGCTTGTGTCCTTGTAGAGCTTGGCACTTACTGGCTGTCTAGAGCAGGTAAAAGAAGAATCAGCCTTACATTAGTCTCTGTTAAAAGCTCTCTGTTAGTAAGAGCAAATTAATAGAACCTGTGTTTCCATGCTTTCTTCCCAACTGAAAGGGTCATGGAATTAAGCTGATAATATTTGCAGGAGTCTGCATATTGAGATTAAAATAATAATGTGTTCCATATGCTAAAAGATGTGGACAGGTGTTTAAAGGAAACTGGATTGGAGGTAGCAGTACTAACAATTATAAATAACACAGAAAAACCATTCCCAGATCTTGTTAAGGGATGCACTTGTCCAGAGTAAACACTACCTGTTATTTATAAACCGAAAGCCACCCTTTCACTGCTCCTTAACACATTTATGCATTTGCCTCATAATGGTTCTAAGCATGCATTGCAAATAATTTGGGAAGCACAGGAAGGATAACACAAAATCAGTACGTGATTTCCCCCAGATGGTTTTCGAAAGGTCAGCCTGCGCACTCTAGATTGATTTGTGCAAGCACCAAAGTCAATTTAAAGAACAAACCTGCCCTTGAATTAAAAAGCAAACTCAGAACTAGTTAGGCAACCTTGGGGGCAATCATAAATGGAGCCCACTCCTTTTTAAAACAGGGAAGTAATTTGAAATCCCAGCAGTGTGTTTGAAAAGGAGAAAGAACCAGGAAAACAAGCACTTTGCTGTGATTTAAAAGTATTTCACTATTTTAAAAAGGAGTGGGCTCCATTTATGACTGTGCCTAAGCTTGCTTAACTGATTCTGAGTTTGTCATGCTGTGGTGGAAATAGTTTTAAAATATTATTTTAAGAGATTATAGAACATTATCACTAGGACATGGACAAAATCGCCACCAGGGTCTTTTTCTCTGTTAATAAAGTGTTGATAATGAGAGAAATGTAGTGGTGCCAAGAAGTGTTTCTACCTTGAAAATAAATATCTTTCTGAAACATCTGACTGAATATAACCAAAGTAAATGCCACCACATTTGAAGAACAGAAAACAGATGCAAGGCACTGATGCCTCGCCTTCAAACTATCAAGTTTATGTTGTTGCTTTTCCATTTTCTTGTTTCAAAATATCTCTTGGAACTGAATGTTGAATTTTTAATGCGTTCAGACATGCATAAGTAACTACTTATTATACCAGCAAACATATTATTTGTTTTTATAGTGCCGTTGGTTCATACAATTCTTTATACAGCAACATTTTATTCATTTGGAATATTTAGGACCTGCGTTTTCAATCTGAAAAATCTTCCCAGAGTGACTAAGAATTATTATTTTTTAAAAAAGCAACATCAAACAGATTTAAATAGCAAAATAAATCCTTAAAGCTAAAAGCTGGAATAAATCCACAATGGAATAAAAATAACAAGACTACCTAAAAGGCCTGGGTAAGTAAAGTCCTTACTTCAGGTTGATGGCAGGCAAGGTTTTCCTAGGGAGAGTATTCAAAAGATGGGGTGCCACAACTGAAAAGACCCTAAATGTGGGTTACTATCTTAATATTTGGGTATGCTTTATCTTAAGTATAAAAAAGTGTCATTGGCTCAAACAACATGCAATCTACAATTTAATATTGGAAGAAGAAAGCAACAGAGAAAAGTATGGAGGATAGGGGAAGTCAGGTGGGATGAACAGGTACTAATGTAGTGACATGTGTTTTCAGTTGGGGGTGATGGCTAAAGGATAATGATGAAAGGAGGACTTGAAGGGAGAAAGAGAGAAAAATGATGCTATCAAGAAGTTCTGGGAGACAGTTCTCTAGGTATGAGGCAAGAAAGTGAGAAAGGGTGGAATTTCCAGGAACCAAAAGTATTTCGTACCACTGAAGATGGTAGAAGCAAGGACCACCGTAATGGATTTTGCTGTCCACTTAGATGGCTTTAAAATAGGATGGTACAAATTCACGGAGGATCAATGGTTGATAGTTATCATGGTAATACTATTTCCACTGCCGCAGGCAATATGCCTCTGAACCACCGGTAACAGGGGGAACACAAATGAGAGAAGGCTATTGTGCTCATTTCCTGTTTGAGGCATTCCCGTAGGTATCTGTGAGAGCAAATTGCTGGTTCTACATGGTGCCCTCTTCAAAGGCTGGGAAGGTTCTCTGAAGGTACGCCTCTACGGAGCTTCCCTGAGCACAGCCTTCTCCATGGGAATGATATCTTTCACCAAAGATT